CTGGAGATTGCTTTTATAACCATTCTTCCGCAGTCTTTCTAGAAGTAGGTCAATGTTTGTCTGAAAGAATCCATTAAATGCTTCTTTTGATTATTGTGAATAGGGAGTTTTAACATATGCAAAAGGCTTGGTTCCAAAGGAAATTACAACGACGTTGGAGTTGTGAAGTCTTGATGCCCTGATTGTTGTACTGTCGTAGATCTGAATAACTATTACCCAAACGTTGAAGTACGTAAGATGTATGATCAATGTACGTTGACATCAGTAGACCCAATTCTTAATACTGTGATCTGTTGCCAGAGTTTGTATCTTTCAGTTGCTAAAACATGGTAAAAATACCATACTAAAACCAAAGAATGTACAGAGATGCCAAAAATGTTGTTCCAGTTTGACTCAGCAATGAATATTTTCCCAATAACAAAGCTATAGAAAGCGTGTTTAAAAAAAAAAAAAAAAAAAAAAAAAAGTTATCTAAAAAAAAGGTAATCACGTGTCCTTCCACGTTCTGAGTCTCATGCGTGTGAGCAGTGGATAACGTACTTCCAAAAGGAAAGATAGCTGTGAGAATCTGAGGGGAACAGGAAGTAAAGCTCCTGATGATTTCAATTAGTCCTTGTTTTCAACTCAAATTTTTCCCTTTCTCTCCTATGTCCTGTGTGCTCGCAGATGCAGTTTTCACTAAAAAGACCTGGATTTGACTTCTCAAATATCAGCTGGTTGCTCTGTGTTCAGCCAGCGCCCTGTGAAAGCCTCTAACAGCAACTACTCTGAAACTGAGTTGTTTTGTAGTTGAGAGGAAAGCCTGTCTGCCGTGCAGAATGTGAAGTGTGCTGGTGCTTGTGAGGATGCTGGTTCCGTGCTACAGCATTGTTAATTGCTAATGGAGAACGCCTGTGATGACAGGACTGGGAGGACAGGACAGGACTCATTGCTGCAACTTGTCAGTCGCACAGCTCAGCTGAACAGCTTTGTCTTTTCTCCCCCTAAATTTACACTGTCTTAAAAGTTTTACTTTGCCTTTATGAAAAGTAAGGTATTACTCAACATGTGCAACAGAATAACACAGCAAACCGGCAACTGCTGTGAATTACTAATTAACAGGTTTCGCCACTAATCTAAGCGTGGCTTCCTTTGAACCTTTGCCTAAATATCAGAAGAGGTAATTATGTGCAATTTACTTTTCTAGGGAGATTATGTTACAAAAATAAGGAAAGGGCAAGCTCTGGCATGATCACAAGGAAGATTCACGTTTGACTTAACAATTTTAGAAAAAAAGAAAAAGACCACAAAAACTTGTATTGGTTTGTGCTGAATGCATATCCATCCATCACATCTGTCACGATGTGACGTATTAGCTGTGTTAACAAATCCCACGAGTGTTAATGTTTAATTTTAGAGGTGGCACTGTTTTACTGCAGAAAGTGATTTCCAGCCGTCTTATAAATCCGTTTCAGTTAGCGTTTTTAATCAGAAGGTATTTTTATTGTGGAACTGTTCCCTGGTGGCTGGGAGCCCTGGCTGTGCTGTCGCAGCATGCTCAGGCTGCAGGCAGTCGCCCCGGCCTTTTCCTGTTCTGCGTGCCATTTTGTTGTAGGTCCTCCAAAAAATGTTTTCGACAGATTGTTCCAGCCTCTCACAGGCCTTCAGGGGACAGGGACACATTTGGCTCGGTTATATCTCCATCAGCTTTTCCTGGATAGCCTCGGGAGCTGAGCTCCCAGATTCTGGCTCTGATCACAGGGAGCAGACCCAAAGAATGAGTGTACGGAATAGAGTTATTTACTGAGGAGATGAGTAGTAGAAAGTGAGATTGAGAACATGAGTTTAAACTCGGAATTCTCCTCCAGAAAGGCATCCCTCTCTTACAAGTGTAAGAGGAACTCTGCTCACCATGCCCGTCGTTTGCTCCCTAAAATTAGCTACCATGAAAACTCAAGTGTTGATGATAGTAGCTCTGAGTGTTGGGTGAGATGCACCTTTGGGATTGTAGCACCCTGCACAAAGCAATTTAAGTCCAATGCTAAACTTAGAGATTGAGTGATCTTTTGACGTTGCAGCAGTGTGTCCCTCTCGGCTGCTTAGTGCAGTGTTGGTGCTGAATGGAGGTCTGATCTGTGATTTGCTCAGGGCTCCTGGTGATTGCAAAGCAGAGGTGGTATTTTTCCTGCAAGATACTCTCAGCCTGGTAGCATTGTAGCTGATTGTCTACAGATATTTGTTCATGTGATGCGTATTCATGCATGAGATCCATCATGAATCTATAGGCTGCTGTGAATTGCCAAGTTCTGTCTTAAAATTTTGCAAGAATTTGGGTTTTGTGGCTGTGACGGTAGCATCCAATTCTTGCCAGCACTGCTTTAGCACAGTAACCATTCAATGTAAATGATGGGCTATTGCATTAACCCTAAGTAGGGCAGTAAAATTCCAGGTCTATAAGGAAGTGGTTTTCAATCTGTGGTTCGTGCATGGCTGTGATTTTGTAGCCCCTGTCTAAGGGGTTTGTGAAAGGCTTCCATCCGTCCATAGGATTACCTTTTCATATGCATCCTTCATTTGACTATTTACTACTACGTAAACCAAAGACAAGCCAATAAACTGTTGCTGTAAAGCAAACATTATTCTTCTTTGTCTTGGCATACGTGTCGTAGGGTTTGTTCTGTTTCTGTGCTCTGCCTTCAGAGCAGGGAGCTGGGGCAGCAGGGTGCCCTTCTCTAGGGGGTGCATGGTGGGAAAACAATTCTCTTACCTCTTCAGATTTGTGTATAAAAGTTTTAACTTAGGATTTAAGAAAAAGTTTTCACTGTGGGGGAAATACAGAGGACACCAGTAGCATTAAATTAGCGTATGTGACTAATTTTAGCTAGTTGTAACAGGAATGTAATGACGTACTAAAAAAGGTTAGAGGAGTGCACTGCTTATACTAAGTAGTGTTTCAATGGGAAGAGTTTAAACAGAAATGAAGAGTGTTGTGTAAGTTTACTTAAACCCTAAGGGAAAACACTTCTGGATTTCTGCTGAACTCCAGTACTACCCTTCTTAATCCAGCATTTCCCAGCAAAACCTGGCTACTCCTGGCCAGGCAGACAGTCTGCATTTGCAGTTTGCTACTTTCCATCTCCTTCCAGAGATCAGAGATTTCCTGGTATCTGAACGAAGCAACAGTTTTACGTTGAAGTTCTTTTAACCCACTGAAGGATACCACTTATAAAACCATTAGGGAGAATCTCGAGATGAATCCAGTTGTAGAAGTATTGTAGATGAAATGTAGGTAGGAATTACTTCAATAGCTTGCCTTTGCACAGAGAAAATGAATTTGTAATACGAGTCTTGAAAGTAATCTCAAGAAAAAAGACAGATCCAATTTATGAAATAATTTTAGACACATTCAAAGAGAACAAACATTAAATGGAGGAATGCAAGTTAGCTGGCAACAACAGTGAGAAGTAATCAGTCTAAGTCAGCATTTCACAAGGGATTTTATAAAGACTAATACTGGGTCTGATGTCTTTATGTTTTTATCTCTGATTTCAAAATATATCACTTCTAATGAATTTGCACATGATGTGGAGATGGCCTGATAGGGAGTGTGCACTTAGCTATCTAAATTACTTGCTGAGCCAGACCAGTTTTAATCAAGTGTAGTTTAATATGGATGCATATAAGACTGTATGTACGAAAACAGAAAGCGAATTCATATAGAGTGGAGCGTTGGTGTCCTGACAAACAGCTCTTGGCAAAATGATCTCTTGAGCACTGAGTTTCAGTGTTTCATTGAAAAGGTTGGGGCAGATCCTTAGGCAGTGGAACAGAGGCAGTGCAGAGGAGAAGTTCACATGCTCAATGGCTTTGGATGTTGTACTTGGAGACTTGGGGAATACTGTCTCCAGTCAGAGAAAACTCACCAAAATTCTCCTGAGGCTGGAAAAAAATCTGTAGTGAGAAATTTAGACTGAATTTTGGCTTACCAAAAAGGATTGAAATGGGTTTAATTGCAGTGTACTTCCACAGGAGAAAAAATCCAAAGAGCTTTTGTTGTAAGTGAAATACCTCAAGAAAGCATCATCAGCTGTGGGTAGCAGTTAGACATCTCAGAAGGAACTCGAGGCATTATTTTTGATGACATGTGTGAATAAGCATTAGAACAAGTATCAAGAAAAGTGACAGGTTTGTTTTGCAGTTGCAAATGGTGATGCTCTCGTAGAGAATGTCTGTAGCCATAACAATGCTTTTGAGTTCAGACTGGGGCAGCAATATGAAATTCTGCCTTTTCTGCTGTAACAAGGGAGAAAACATGACTCAGATGTGCATCCCATCCCTGAATTCTGTTGGACTGAAAACAGCACGGTGTTTTCTCTTGAATGTTAGGAATTTTGTCCTTAAAGCTAGTTATGAATTATTTTTTTTTTAATCTTCTAACTTTAACACATTTGGTAAGGCTTTTTATGTAAGACTTATGCATGACAAGGTCATCTTTTGGAGTATTTTAATTCATTGACAACTGTGACATTCCTTACATATAGTTTTTCTCTCTTCTGTATAACGTTGCCACTCTCTTGAAGGATATTTGAGTCAGAGACTCTGGTATACAGCTTGAAGTTTTACTGAGTTTCTTTCTAAAATGCATTGTTAATACCATGTAAAGCATGTATTCAAGCTTTAATGGTGGGTTTTTACCATGTCCCTGTGTTTTTGGCTAGGCACTGACTAACTGGGTTATAGGAGTGAATACAAATAAAATGCCATATTACAAAGTCTTGGTGTTTTGTTTTGGCAATTGTTGTTTATGATAATAGCTGTTACACTGTCCTGTTGATGAGACTTCCACAAGTGCATACTCTGAATTTAATCAAATTTTCTTTTGAAAGGTGGGGAAACAAAACCAAAAGAACTTACCTCAGTCTGTTAGCCTGAATTGCAGTCTGTTTGCTTCCTTTGGTTGACATTCTGAAAAAAGTTCACGTACGTGGCTGCTTTCTCTAACGTGTGTGTTTAATCTTCAGATCTTCGATGGCCCAGGAGATGAGCGCTCAGAGTCTCCCTATGAAAGTGCTGATGAAACTCAGACTGAAGTGTCTATATCATCCAAAAAATCTGAGCGAGGAACGGGAACAAAAAAAGAATATGTGTGTCAGGTGAGAGATGGTAGCTGGGCAGGGAGCTGTGTTTTCTGAGGTATCCTGGAAAAGGGATTTTTTTTAATTTGAAAATGACAACATTAGGGCAGACGCAGATTTATTGTGCCTATCGCATGGAGGAGACATTAGTGAACATGTTGCCATATCAGTAAATGGAATTCTTCCTAGTTTTTTTTTTCTTGATCTAAAATAAGTGACTTAGCCTTTCTGGTTTAGTTTCCGGATGAGTAAAATAAATGTGATTTGTACCTCAAGGACAGCACATGAGGTTTGCCAGGTCACTGGATTAAATGACAGAGAACTGCTTGCTTGTCTGCTATTACACAGAAGGGAATCTGACATGGCTGTGTGCTTCGGTGTGAGCACAGCAGAGGTGGCTGCACTGCACTTACAGCACGCTCACTGCGAGCAGAACGCTTCCTGGATCTATGCTTACAGAGTTTGTAGCTTATGAAAGGGTGATACGACAGCTCTGGGCAGATTGAAGTTGTTTCCAGCAGACTGGAAAAGCAGTTATATTTCCATTTCTTCTTGTACATAATGATGATGGTTTGGTTATCTGTCTTTAAATGTTGTATAATCACTTAAATTCTGCCAGCATTGTTGTTGAGTTCATTTTTAGTTTTATGTCACTGCTAACAGCGTGGGTACAGAAGTATCATTATGTCTCCTAGACTATTTTCCCTTTGCCAAAGAAAGGGAAAATAAGGTTTATCCTAAACCTGCTCAGATGCCATTCAGGGAAAAATTCTTAAAGCTGTTTTTGTTTCTTTTTATCTGGGCATGTTCTCATGTACCATGTTTCTATCAGTGGTGTTTCTCAGTTTAATGACTAGTATTTGTTGCAACAGGAAGCAAGGGCACGTGATGATACTTGCAGTGTTTTCTTGTTAAATATGATTTCGCCCATGGGAAAAGAGATTTTGAGGAGCAATTTATGGAATAGTGAATACTATTTTTTCTGCATATGAACTTTTCTTTAACCTTAAATGCCTTTGTGTTGTAAAAGCTATGTGAAAAAACAGGTGATCTCCTGCTGTGTGAAGGACTTTGCTATCGAGCTTTTCACGTGAGCTGCCTTGGGCTCTCTGGAAGACCAGCAGGAAAATTCGTTTGTAGTGAATGTACATCAGGCAAGTTTGTCCCTTTGTATTAAATTTTAAAAAGAAAAGGTGTAATTTTCCCATACGTTGTTGCAGGAAATCATCCCATGCAGGTTATGTATCTGAACAAACTGTACTTTCCTCTTGGTGCCTGATGGGGTGGAAATTCATGTATTACCATTAACTGTGCCATGATTTAGGATACTCGCTCTATTTTCAGTGAGAAATCTCTTGCAGATTGGTTGATTTGCTCTGAATTCCACTGCCTTAATAATTGCAGACTGTATCTGTCTGTGTACAATTACAGAGTAGGTTTAAGGTCTGCCTCAAAGACCTAAGAAATCCATGGAAAAAAAAGCAGCAAATGAAACACTTTAAGTCTTTTCTCAGTTCTTTTTGTGTCTGCATGTATCTTTTGCTTTTTCCATTAAAAGACCACCTTACTGCTATTAATTTAATTTCCTTTTAATCCTGCAATAACTGCTTGGAAGCTCTTAATCTCAGAATGTTACATGAAGATTTGTGTTCTTGCTCATTAACTCAGTTCAGTCAGGTGGTGAACCTTGCTGGAGAAAAAAGACTTCTCCTAAATAAGGTTGTTCCAAGCAGTCCAGAGAGAAGACTGGAGGATACTCTTCCTTAGTTTGTGGACTTACAAGTCAAATTTTACAGGATTGCAAACAAAGTAGGATCCTATTTCATTGCCTTAAAAACAAAATTCAGAGTTGTCCTGGCATACTGAGACTTATGAATAAGAACACAAAAGCAGATCAGTGAGGCTTATTTGCACACATATTATATGCACTATAGTATTATATGCACACATTAACTGTGGTGGATTTCTACTGTAACTTTATTTTTGTTGTGTTTTATTTATCTGTATCTAAACAAATCAGTATTGAACACTGAAGAGTCAAAGCAGATAAATTGCTGCTTCGAATAATGGAATTAAAAAATCAAACAAAAAAAAAAAAAGCTCTTCCCCCCACAACAAAAACTCCCAGTGTTTTAAATACACAGGTCTGAATGAAAAATTAGTTACATGGTTTTTATTATTTTTGCCACTAGGTGTGCATACCTGCTTTGTGTGTAAAGAGAGGAAGGCAGATCTGAAGCGCTGTGTTGTATCCCACTGTGGAAAATTCTACCATGAAGCCTGTGTGAAAAAATTCCATCTTACCGTGTTTGAGAACAGGGGTTTTCGATGTCCTCTGCACAGCTGCCTCAGTTGTCATGTTAGTAACCCCTCCCATCCACGAATTTCAAAAGGTAGTTTCATTTTTACATGTTTATGACTGATAAATAAGTCTGTTTATGGTATATTGAGGTAAGGAATCTGCTCATGCTGTAGTTCCTCACTGTATTACAGGCATACAGGTACTACTGACTGATTCAGGTATTGCAGCAAGACTTGCTGAATGTGAACATACAGTGAGGAGTGAGTTCTTTATTCAGAGAGTGGTGATGCCGTGGCACAGGCTGCCCAGAGCTGTGGGCCCCCCATCCCTGGAGGCACTGAAGGCTGGGTTGGATGGGCCCTGGGCAGCCTGATTTGGTGAGGGGCAACCAGCCCACAGCAAGGGGCTGGGACTGGGTGGGCTTTAAGGTCCCTTCCACCCCAAAGCATGCTATGATTTTGTATGATTCTGTGCATCTTTTTAGCCTTGGGAAACATTTGTAAACACAACCGCGTGACTGAGAAAAGATTGTCTGCTCTGTTCATAGCTGAAGCCTTTGTATTTAAATGTGGTAGTGCTTTAAGCTCGGTATAATGTTCTCTAAAAATCTTTGTTAATTCAGTGTTGTCTCTGAAAGTAAAAATGCAAACCTTGCAAGCATAATTGAAACATTTCTGGTGTTAACCAGCAGCAGTACTGTTTGTGAAGAGCAAGTGCTAAACGGGTTTTGTTCAAAGATAAATATGGCAGTGTTCTGCTTTGCTAGGAAAGATGATGCGCTGTGTTCGCTGTCCTGTTGCATACCATGCTGGAGACGTGTGCATTGCTGCGGGATGTGCAGTCATCGCTTCCAACAGCATTGTTTGTACGAATCATTTCACTGCCATGAAAGGAAAAAGTCATCACGCGCATGTCAATGTGAGCTGGTGCTTTGTGTGTTCCAAAGGTAAACTGATGCAAAGCTCTTACGTAGGTGCAGCGTCAAAATGTTTTATTCTTCAATTTAAATTTTATTTTACTAATCTCTTTACAGAAAGCTATTAGAAATGTGGCGTGCTAAGTTCATCTCCCTTAGGTATTGAAATACCTTCAAGTTGGCTTGTGCTGCTTCTAGTTTTTGAGCGTCCTTTCTTTGCAGATATAATTTATTAAAGAATATTTTCACTCAGACCAGAAACCTGATCTAATTCTTTACCAGAGATGCATAATGATAAATCCTTCTTTGTCCTTTCCCCTGTGTTCAATATACTGAAGCTTTTTGTGTTTCGATATTGTTCATACATAATATTAAAACATAAATATTTTAAGAGTTGCTTTTACTTCAGAAGCAGACAGCAAATTGAACCCATATTAGTGTCTGGAGTGCCACTAATTAAGGGCATTTTGCTTTATGCTGACTAATAAATTTACTTCGTATTGAGAAGCACAAAATGCATCGTGCTGATTAAACCCTGGCAATGAGAATTTACCTGATTTGTTAACAAATTAACATGCAGCATAGCAGCTTACTAAGCAGCAGCTAACTTTCTGATGGTAATTCATGGAACAGGCAATCTCATCCCTACCTCTTCTCCAGAGGGGAAAAAAAAGAGAAAGAGAAATTTAATTAGACTTACTTTTTGTTGTTAAAATGTTACATACAGTGAATTATTAATATATATTAAGCTATGTTAAATATATTGTAGTCATTAAAGTAAAAAAAAATAATTTTCCTGTGGTGCATTATTCTGGCTTTTATATCATTAGCTTGCTTTTTAATTTGTATGTATTTACTAACTGGAGTCTGCCAGGCATTCAAATCAGTTAAGACCATTTGGTTTCTGTGCTCAGCTAGATGATGTGTGTTTGTTGCAAGCTGGCATGTTTTAACTACTTTTTTCTGGCAGACCCTACCACAAACCTCACTGCTTTGAATCTGGTTGGAATGCAAATCTTTCTTTTTTGTCTTGATGTTTGTCAATCTTTTTTTTCTCTTGGAAGGAGGAAGCTTGTTGTGCTGCGAGTCGTGTCCTGCAGCATTTCACCCGGACTGTTTAAACATCGAAATGCCAGATGGGAGCTGGTACTGCAATGACTGCAGGGCAGGGAAGAAACTCCATTTCCAGGATATTATTTGGGTTAAACTGGGAAATTACAGGTCTGATGAAAAAATTGTTTTCTTTTACAGTGATATTGGCATGTTTTAATGAAGGATCATACAGTTGGCTGTTCTGTGCCTTGCTGCACACAGATTTCCCATGTCTCTAAGCTGGGAACCACATCTCCCTTAGAGCTTTGCCTGTGCTTAATACCCCTGTGCCAAGACTTGAAAGCTTTGCTATTGCTCTCTGCCACAGCAGTGCCCATACAAGACTCCTTGCAGACTTCTCTGCTTTTGCCATATTGGCCTTCTGCCCCTTGTTTCAGAGTTCTTTTCAAGTAACTGAATGTAACTTACTTGTATACTCACTTGAACTTGTAATAGCCTGAATCACTGTCTTCCTTGGCTGGAAAATAAGTCGCTCAGGCTGTTAGAGTTTTACACTGAGATTTGAGTGTGATAGAGATGGGTGGGGTTTGCCCTAGAAAGCATTACTAGCTGTTACACACTGTCACTTGACCTTTAACAAGTATAGAGATTGCAGACTTTGTTAAAGATGTTATTTTTGCTAACCAATGCAAGGAGATTTATGTGTATCTTGCAAGCAGGCAGAAGTCCCATAGATCTGAGTGTCAGGCTTTCCTTTTCTACCCAATCTTCTTCCTATGCCTACTGAGCTGGAGTGTGGGCAGGAACGTATCTCCTTCAGGGTGTTTTGTTTTGCATTTTATTTTGAGGCGCTTTGGTTTTTTTCATCCTATATTTGGAAGTAATAATCAGTAATTGCTTTTCAAAGTGATTTCGTTAAGCTTACATACATTTTGTGTTTTTCTGTTTGTATTTCTGTGCTAGATGGTGGCCTGCAGAAGTTTGCCATCCGAAAAATGTTCCCCCAAATATCCAGAAAATGAAGCATGAAATTGGAGAATTTCCTGTATTTTTCTTTGGTTCTAAGGATTACTTTTGGACACATCAAGCACGGGTGTTCCCTTATATGGAGGGAGACAGAGGGAGTAGATACCGGGGGATTAAAGGAATTGGAAAAGTCTTCAAAAATGGTACATAGTTAGAAGTAAAGGAAGAATAATCTCGTTATATACGTGCTTGTATACGTGTAAAAGACTAGCATCTAACTGAAATTCTTTCTGATGACTTTGGCTTTTTGTGAAGCAAAGCTTGAATAGAACTGGGAAGCAGAGTAGAACTGATAAATTTGTCAAGAGTGTTAACACTCCAGAAACATTGTTTGCAGGAAAATTAATGGTTTAGCTAGGAAGTAGAAATGCTTCTTTAACACAGGTCAGCTTGAGGAGAGTCATTTTCTTTCTAGTGTTTTTGTTGATACAACAGTCCTTTCTTTTTTTTTAAGCTTTGCAAGAAGCTGAAGCTCGATTTCGAGAAATAAAGCTACAGCGAGAAGCCAAAGAAACCCAAGAAAGTGAACGTAGACCTCCACCATACAAGCATATTAAGGTAAAGAAGACATGACACTGGGTGCTCAGAGATCTAGGGAATCACTGGGGAGGAAAAGCTGAATAGATGAGGAGCAAAGGTTGTAATGTGTTGGTAACTGAACTTTACCTTTAGAGTCACGTAATTAGGAAATTTCATTACTGTTGGAACGTCTGTTATTGCAAAACCACTTATTAACAACTGTAATAATTCTTACCACAAATGCTAATGTTTTAAAGTGATGTTTGAACTATTTTAATGTATCATTCAGGTGAATAAACCTTGTGGTAAAGTGCAGATATATACTGCTGACATTTCTGAGATTCCCAAGTGCAACTGCAAACCCACAGATGAAAACCCTTGTGGCTTTGATTCTGAGTGCCTCAATCGGATGTTGATGTATGAATGTCATCCACAAGTTTGTCCAGCAGGAGAACGATGCCAAAACCAGTGCTTTACAAAACGTGAATACCCTGAGACAGAGATCATCAAAACAGATGGGAAAGGATGGGGTTTGGTTGCAAAGAGGGACATTAAAAAGGTATGAATCATTCTTGCCTAGCAAGAAATTGTTAACCTGTGGTGTTGTTTGTGGGTTTGGTATATACTTCACTAGTGATATTCGGTATCTTTCAGGGAGAGTTTGTGAATGAGTATGTTGGTGAGCTCATTGATGAAGAAGAATGTATGGCAAGAATCAAATATGCACATGAAAACGACATTACTCACTTCTATATGCTTACTATTGATAAGGTAGAGTATTTAAAAAATTATTCCCTGCTTTCAGTTGTAACTGTACTTTGATTTCTCTCCTCTTCCTTCTTTTGATCACACTGGTGGGTCAGTCAGCTGTCTGTGATGCTCTGCTGTTTCAAATATTCATAAGTTTGTATTTCTGTGCCTGCTTCCTCCCTTCTCAGAGTGTAATGTATCTATCTCATTGACTCAAAATAGGTAATGTAATATCACATATATTAAAATCCATACATTTTATGCTTTGATGCTTGAAATCAACTACAGCAGAACTATTTATCTGCCCAATCTCAAGAGGAAGTGTGAACTTTTGGGAAATACTGCAGTTGAAAGAATTACTGTTAACGATATTTTTACTACAGTTTCAAGTTGAAAAAACATGGATTGTGTGAAGTGTGGAACATAATTTTAAGGCTGCATCCTATATTGGGCATTTGAACTTATGTTTTTAACTATCTACCCCTTCCTTTGCTTACACTAAAAAGAAGCTCATGGCTTTTGTAGCAACTTTTTCCTGCGTGTACCATTTTCATTAGTAGCCAGTTAGCACAGCACAAATTGATTCTGGCCAGTGCAGCAAATTAATTTAGCATCTGCAGTTTTCTCTGTAGCTCTCTGAGTGTTTTGTTCCTGAGAGGAAGAAATGGGAAACCAGTAGACGAGGGCAGACTTATTATAAACACGTGCTTTTTACATTGCTTTAGTCTCCAGACAGCTATTTAGAAGAAAAAAAAGTATCCCCAAGGAAAGAAGAGTTGGATGCCAATCCTGCATATTTTTGCAGTCCTAATCACTTTTTCCCCAAGACTGTGCTGCTCTGTATTTCTACTGCTACTGGCTTTTGTTAGCTCTGTAACCTAGGAGCTATCGCACAGGCATTGCCTAAGAAAGATGAAACCATGTTTGTCTTAATGCTCGAGTTTCTCACTTCTTTACTAAACTGGCATACATCATCAGCTTGTGAAGTAGGCTGATCTGGGGAAAGAAAGCTGGTAAGAAACTTTTAATCTCTGTAAGTAATCATTCAGGGACTTGGTGAATAACATAAAGCGTAGTACTTGTAAATGCATAACAGCTTTTTGAATGCAAAGCAAAAGGTAAACAAATTGAGTTTTGAGGCTTTTTGGAAGGACCACCAGAATGCTCACAAGAACACATATCCTGCCACGTGGCTGAGATGGGTTCTGGGACAATGTGAGCTAGATCAAGAGTATTGCTTTGGGAGTGTCTCATTTCAGTCCCCATGGGACACTACAGTTTTCAATACAACATGTAACATCGATTTACTTTGGCTTTTCTGGGTAGCCAAACCATGTCTGTTTTGAAAGTAAAAACATTCATTCTGTTGCTGATTTGATCTCCAGGACCGTATTATTGATGCTGGCCCCAAAGGGAACTATTCTCGTTTTATGAATCACAGCTGCCAACCAAATTGTGAAACTCTGAAATGGACGGTAAATGGAGATACTCGTGTTGGCCTGTTTGCTGTGTGTGATATTCCTGCAGGTATTCCACTTTATGTTGGCTTTATTTTAATTCTCTAAACTAAACATTTTATGTAGTTATATTAAATCATTTAACTGATTCAGTAAAAGTAATTTTGTAAAGAACTCAGCACATGGAAGAGATGCTTTTGGTCTTTTAATGTATTGCTTCTTAACAGTGAATCCTGCAGCTGTTTTTTATTGCTTACTTCTAAGGTTTCACCAAAGAGCTCTTATTATCCACGCACTCATGTTGTGTTGTCTGTCAAAAGAGTAGAGCAGTTTTTGTTTTAGAGACCTTTCTGCATCTTTTCTTCAACTGAAGATAAACTAAAGTGTATCTTAAAAGGATGTTTGAAACTATGTGTATTCTGGTTTGTGTACACACACGTACACACATGTGTACGTATAGCAACAGATAAAGTTGCATTGCACATATCTACAGCTATATGTAGGTATATAGGTACGTGGCCTATGTGGTCAGTGGTTGTGATCAGTAAAAAAGGGGAAAAAAAACTTACCAGAATAGATCAGCAAGCAAGTACAAAACCAGAAGACAGATAATAAAACCTTTATTTGTTGTAATAATTTTGATAGACTTCATTACCTCGTCCTTCGTAATAAAACAGTACATCTTATCTCACTCAGGGACAGAGCTGACTTTCAATTACAACCTTGACTGTCTGGGCAATGAAAAAACAGTCTGCAAATGTGGTGCCCCAAACTGCAGTGGATTTCTTGGGGACAGACCAAAGGCAAGTAATATGTCACAAGAATTTGACAATGTCTTGTCTAACTATTAGCCTTGTTTTTTTCCTTTTGAGGTATGTGTAGGCGAACCAGTTTTATGTTGTGGTAAAAGTTATTCACGTCAGGTCCTGAATGGGAAAGATGGCTAGGTACTGGCACTAACTGGAGTAGCCTTCAGTTGGTCCCAGTCCCCTTGGAGGTATGTAGGAGCTAGACACTAGAAGAAACTGACCAAAGGCACTCAAGTGCTGCACTAGACTGAATTCAGGGTGAGATGGTAGCACGAAACTGAATGTTACTGAGTAAATCCTATCCTGCCCTGGCTACAGCCAGTGAAGTTATTCTGACTTCTCAGCTCGTACTTGTCTGTTTAAAATTGAGAATGTGTGCTAAGTTCATTAAAGATCTTCCAATTGAAGTTTAACGAAATAATAAAAAATGGGAGTTTTAAAAAGTAAACATAATGGGGGGGAAAATAGATTTAAAATTGTGTCACAATTCATGTGTGATTTAGGTCACATTAATTTAAAACCTGTCATCCAGACCTGGCGAAGGAGTGCAAAGGCAGGCACAAGCATGTTCCCAAGTGAAAAAAAAATTCTCAGCTGTCAATATAAAAACCTTCTTGTTCACACTGCTCAGCATCAGGTGCTTCAGAGGGTGGGCTTAAAATCTCCAGAATTTGCATTGCTGTTTTTCCTTAAGGGAGAGGCTTAAGCAGGGTTTCATATAAGCTTGTGATCAGTTTATGCAGACAGCCATGAAGAAATGAAATATTGCAGTTCCATTCAGCAGGACTCTCTGCGTTGGTGGATAGAATAGTATAAAATGTAAGCAGAAAATGTCAGATTAAAATAAGGGTATGGTTTGGTGTATTCTTACTAGCACTTTGGACACAGCTGTAGTTCCTGAAATTCTTCTGTCTGTTCTTTAAAGAAGAGAAGTGGATGCTGGTCTGCACCAAGTTAAATTTTTGCCTGTATGCATTGTCTACCAGAAATGCCAACAGTTTTGCTTATTTGTGTAAAATTTTTCTTTTGCAAAACTGACATTTACAGATTTGCAACTTAATCTTTTAGAATTCTTCCACTAATGCCTCAGAAGAAAAAGGCAAAAAGACCAAAAAGAGAACACGGAGGCGTAGAATGAAAAATGAAGGGAAGAAAGAATCTGAAGATGATTGTTTTCGTTGTGGTGATGGAGGCCAGCTGGTGTTGTGTGACAGGAAATCTTGTACTAAAGCCTATCATCTCTCCTGTCTTGGTTTAGTGAAACGTCCTTTTGGTGAGTCACCTTGCCTAACTTGACTAAATAACTCATTTATTGCACAGAAACCTCACAATTATCTCTTTGAAATCATTTTTGAATAGTGAGAACTGCACAGTGTATAGAATCATAGAATTGCCAAGGTTGGAAAAGACCTCCAAGATCAACCAGTTCAACTGTCCACCTATCACCAATATTTTCCACTAAACCATGTCCCTCAGTACAACATCTAAATGCTTCTTGAACTCCTCCAGAGACGGTGACTCTATCACCTCCCTGGGCAGCCCATTCCAACACTTGACCCCTCTCTTGGAGTATTTCCTGATACCCAACCTGGATCTCTCCTCCCTCTAGTCCTATTGCTAGTTACATGGGAGAAGGGGCCAACTCCCATCTCACCACAACCTCCCTTCAAGTAGTTGTAGAGAGTGATGAAGTCACCCCTGATCCTCAGCCCTGATCCTCCTCTTCTCCTCACTGAACAATCCCAGCTCCTTCAGCCACTCCTCATAAGACTTGTGCTCCAGACCCCTCGCAGCTTCATTGCCATTCTCTGGACACGCTCCAGGGTCTCAATGTCTTTCTTGTAGGCCCAAATGTGTTTCTTGGGCCCAAAACTGAACACAGTACTCAAGCTGTGGCCTCACCAGAGCTGAGTAAATGGGGACAATCACTTCCCTGCTCCTACTGTGGAGCAACACAGTGGCAACACTATTTCTGATACAAGCCAAGATGCCATTGGCCTTCTTGAGTATTCTGCCAGCCTGCAATTTCTGTGAAATGCTACCAAATAAAACCTGAATAATTTCTTCTACTTGAATTCACTGCTGTATTTAAATGAAAGGATGTCAAGTCTGCTACTTAATAATGTCAGATGAGCTTCAGAAGTATGATGTAGCATTTTGATTTTTAAGATTGGCCGTAGTATTTGCTGTCTCATCTCGTTTTCTGAAGGACATTGTATGTTGTTCAGATGTTAAAAGGCAAAACTTTTTAAAAGACAATGACATTTTTTACTCCCTACTAATTTGTTCTTTGTTTCTGATCATAGGGAAGTGGGAGTGTCCTTGGCACCACTGTGATGTTTGTGGCAAACCTTCTGTTTCATTCTGCCACTTCTGCCCAAATTCTTTTTGCAAGGAACACCAAGATGGGACAGTACTAAATTCTACATTGAATGGACAGTTATGCTGCTCTGAACATGTTCTCGGGGTGGATTCTGTTGAAACTCAGAAGACTGAGAAACCCCGCAAAAAACTGAACAAGTTGAAGCCTAAGAGAAAGGAGAGGAGCAGATGGATGAGAGCCGAATGCAAATAGTCATGGACTGCAGTTACTACTGCCAACACTATCTTGTAGATAAGTTGTGAATATTACCAGGGAAGGACACAATTTTACATATATTCTGTAAAGGTTACGGGGGGGAAGGGAGGGGGGGGGGGATTTTTTGTTTTGTTTTATTTTGTTTTTGTTTTGTTTTATAAATCCACTGAGCCAACCACAGCAGTCTTCTGCTGCTTCTGCACTGATAACGAACTACATAGTTCAGAAAATTTCAGGACAAACCAAACTTATTACTCAGCATTACAGTTACACTTGAATTGTTACGAATGTATAAGGTTCCCTCCAATCTTCTTTCAGGTTGGAGGTAGGTTAATATCAAAGCAAGTAGGCATAAACATAGATTTTGAGATAGTATTTGTCAATCAACAGATGTTTAAAATAGTATATCCTTGAAAGAAGATATTAGCTCTTGAGTCCTTTTAAGTGAGACATGGCTTGGTCTGTGGTCCCAATGAGATTTACTTGCCTTGTGTGTTTTTGAGCAAGTGCTTGGATGCCATTCATGACCCAGGTGCATATCTGACAATAACCACACACAGAACAATTTGTTGTGCTCTTATGAAATATGATTCTTAACCCGTATTTTTCAGTATCTTCCCACTGAGATTTATGGTACGTGGTGGGAAAGGCACTCCCTGTACCAGAGATGGGAAATCTTGCACTGTAAGAGACCTTTTTCTATACTATTTTTTCCTGTATTTCATTCCAGCAGAATAGAATTGATTTGATCTTGCAGAGCTGTACAGGACTGGATTTAAAGTCTTGCAATCTAGGCCCAGTGCCCTAGGATTTTTGTTTGTTTGTTTTAGTAAGAATAAATAATACCAAGCCTACTGTTTGGAGAAAAGATGTTTCTTTTCTCGATGCCAAACAATGCAGAGGCAGACATTTCTTTGGAATTCTGGGATTCCAGGCATTGCAACTTTGTGGCAATGCAAAAAATGCCCAACGAGGAACAAAAAAGAAAACCATGGATGAGACAATGGAACAGAAGGTGAAGCTTGACTAGCTGCCCAAGTGCTAAATCTAATTTATCCAAACAACTAATTAAAAGTGAAGGCAATTTTTGGAAAAAAAAAAAAGCATACGAGGAACAGTTTTAACATGAAGTTTAGCCTGACTCCATTCCTTTTTGTACAGTTTATGTAGAACTGGCTACTTGACTTGGCAAGCAGCTCGAAATCATTCTTGAGTTTTTTTAGGAGCTGTGCTCTTGACTAGCTGATGACCAGTGTGTTGTGTCAGCAAAGCTGCTTTGAGTTCTTTGCTCCCATGGGGTTTTCCTCTTGCAGTGAGATAAAAACACAAGATTTAGTTTTAATGGAAATAATACTAGAACTAGGAAAAAATGGTAGAGAAAAATGTCTTTACCTGTTTCTTCCCAGTGCGTGTCATTGGTGTGTGACTGATTAGGCAGTGTTTTGACTTGTGCCATGTTATCCAGCCTATGTAAACAGAATGTGTGCCTTCATTGAAGAATTTGTGCATGTTCTAGCTTAGTTTCCCTTTGGTAGTGCAGAAACTCTGTGTAGCCATTTTGAAATTGAAGCCTTGCTATATCATAAAATGTAAGTTTCTTTCCAAACGTTTTTTCTTCAGAATTTGATTACAGATTTAGATTTTGGAATTACTGAAATCCCCACTTGTTCCCAACACTTGAAACTTTGGTGTTATTAGGAGTTATTAACTGAAACAGATTTTAAATGTAGCCTTGTCCTTGTCCTGAACTCCTCGATTTCTATTTTGTAAGCAAACAGATGTGTTTTTTTCTTTTAACCCATTCCATAAACACTGTTGGAAAGTGTTGGGTTTTTTTCCCCAAAATAATTATATAATAATAATTATGGATAAAACAGCTCAGTTCAAAATGGGGGGAAAATGTTTCATGTTTGTGTCTTTAAACTGGTACGCCAAGCCTTGCACTCAAGGAAACAATGAAGATTTCTTAGTTGAGTTGGAGGGAAATTTACCCTCTTCTATAGATGTTTGTTATACCAGGACTGAAGCATAGGCCTGTGCCTAAAATGAAAACCAAAAAAATGTGTTGTGTACATTTCTATCGCGTCTTCAGGAAAGTGAGATCAGGTAGTAAAATAGAAAGATTATCCTCATCACTTTGAAACAAAATGAAGGAACTTTATGTCATTGGGACCATTATTTGTTTGAATTCTGTACCATGTAAGGAAGACTTTATAAGAATACCTTTAAATAAGTTATTATAAAATCTTACCTTTACATTCCACTGTTTTTATAATTTGTTAAATCTGTAGTTGTTTCATTGTTTTTTCTCTTCGTACATAGACTCCGGCACCCTGGAACAGTTACTCCCAATGTCCTAATAGGCAGATTCCCCCTCCTAGAAGCCACCAGCTCCAGTAGTTACTGATGTCACTGCTGCAGAAACACCATCGGTTATCAGATCGGTCGTGGAGCCTACAGCCCCCTGCCCTCCTCCTAGGTGGGGCCACAAACACAGTTAGTAAGGCAGGATGCAGGACAGCCACCCCTTTTGTATCTGTCTGTGGGTAAATAAAGACTTCAGTGTTCAAAGAAATTCCTCTCAGAGCTCTTTTCGTGACATAAATTGACACAAACCGACCTTAGCAAGTGGCTTTTGACTTTCTGCTTCCTTCTACCTCTTCTCTGCTCTTTGCTACTAAGCTGCTTGGTCAATGGAAGCTTGCATCACAGAGAAAAAGGCTGCAAACTAGAAGTTTGCTCTTAAACTGACAGGGAATCGTTTCTTTTGCTGATTATATGCTTAGGAGATTGATCCTTAAAAGAAGTGTGGACCCTGTGCTTCCTTATACATGTACTGACCTCATGAGCTTCACCTCAGTCATCAGAACTGACCTGGTAGAAGTTTTGCTTCCAATTCAGAAAAAGTGGTTTTTAATGAAGACTTCTCTGCCTTACTCTGTGGCACTGGGAAAAGAGACTGAAGTATTGTTTTAAAAAGACAACAAAATAAGGTTTTTCCAAATTCCTTCTCCCGCTGTTCAAATACAAGGGAAAACAACCTTGGAAAAATTGAGCTTTCTCATGATGCAACTCAATACTTCTTAGCAGCAACAGCTTAAAGATTTTCTGTTATAAATTCAACAAAATAGCATCTAAGTATGGCATGTTATGTGACATTAAATTATGTACTTAGCATCTTGCCCGTAGCAGTAGAAGTGTGTATTTCCTTTTCCAGCAAACTCATCAAAGCTGGAACATGATGGGTAAATTCAGAATGTGCTGTTCCTTTATCACGTGAGCAAGCCTAGAAACCATTTTCAGTTGAATATGTTAGAAGAATTTGCTTACAATCTAGGAATAATCAAATTAAAATGTCTGTTTTGTTCCATAGCTTTGTGTTTACGGTCAGTTTTTAGAGGCTTTTCTATTTGAATTTTCTTTGAAAAGCAAAATACCTTGAAAGATTAATGCAATTTTTCCACAGCGTTGAATCACATTCCATGTCTGTTTGAGAAACTTCCGTGTCTTATTAAATATTAAAATTTATTCCTAGTTACTTAAGAAGTTGCTATTTTTTTTAACAGATCTATATAGCTATTTTTGCAGTTTTTTATATTTTTTTCTTAATTTATTTTTTAGTCAAATGCACGCTGTTTGAGCATGGTTTGGAAGTGAAAGAACTGGATGTTTTCATAGTGAAAACTTGCACTCTGCGATTTCCTAAGAGACTTGCTGGAAATAATACTTAGGGCTCACATAGAGGTGATAATGATTGTATTTTGGCTTGTTTTCACAGTGTTGCTTACCATAAAAAATGACATTTTTTGCGGTCAGTTTCTCCTGTTACAGTGCTGTTTTCTGTTAGACAGAATTTCACAGACTTCAAGTATTTTGAGCTGCAATCGTGCAGTCCTGCAAGCTCCATTCAGCTGACACTGCTGTTGTTCCTGTTTGGTCAGGTTTTAATTCAACCACATTTTTCTTTCCCAGCCAGGTTTTAGGTCAACGCCAGTTTCCTTCATGGGTGGAATCTCTGTGCCTGACTGCAGCTGTGCTTCTTTAAGAGCAAATCAGAAATATGCTTTGGCACTGTTGGCTTAGTGTTCTGAAATAACCTGGTGCTGTGTTATCAGGACTCCATCCTTTTGCTGCTCCTGCACAAAGCCCTGACTGTGCACCGAGAAACTTAGTGCCTGCGTGCTATGGACAGCATCAGAGAGCCCAGCAGAAGGGCCATGCACGCTCTGTCCCCCAGCTCTCAGGACTGAAGAACAGGAGAGGGTGTTGGGCATCATTTCCTGCAGCCACAAGGAGAGGGTCCTGTCCTGTCCCCAGCTGGTCACTGCTGCAAAGAAGCCATTTCTTCTTAGAACAGGGGATTCTGAGAGCCAGCGCATTTCAAGCAAGTAGCTGGGAGTGAGGAGAAGGTGGGAAGAAAAGAACAAAGCATGCGGACGGGAGGTAACCAGCTTTCAGTGGGAAAATGGAGACTCGAGGGCAGAAAGGGTCTTGGGATGGGACTGAGCTTGGTGTGTTGATGCTGCTGCTGATGCAGGTGGCGGGGTTACCAGCTGCATTATTGCTTACCACAGAGGATAACACACCTCTCTTCCTATCCATTTACTCATCTAACAGATCTGAAACAGATCACAGAACTGCTTTTTTCAGCTGTTGTTTATTTCCTTTTTCTTGAAAAGCACAATAATCTCCCCAGGGATGAGAAGAATGAGCAGTGGAGGGCAGCAGCCACTTAACCCCTACCAGCTGGGTTCCTTCAGCTGGCTGCTGCTGCTTTAGCTCAGGGAAAGGACTCCATGAGAAGTAACACCTGCTTCCACCTCCATGCACACTCGCTTGAAAGCACAGCTCTCATAATAGTAAGTACTATTTTTACCAGGGCTCTCAGAGCTGATGAGGCACAACGCTGTGGAAGTGTCACCGCTGGATGATCTGAGCAGGGCTTTGCAGCCAGCCTGGTATGTGAATGAATTTCACTGGAGAAGCAGGAGGAAGGTGTTGCTTCTGTAGCTCTGTGGAGTAATATGAAGCACTGCGTTAGAGACCGCAGCAGGAAACGGAAGGGACACATTTGTCCAGGAATCAACCATAAATTCAGCTGCACGTTTTCCCACAGTTGAGAGGAAGGGGAAAGTTTGGGATTCCTTTTTTTCATTTGACCCTCAATTTCAAGTATAGATAAAGTTTTGAGAATGGCAAATAAATAAAAAATGTGCATATTCCTTAAAGGAAGAATATTTGTGTTAGTTCCTGCTCGGGTAGAAACAGTTGTGTTGTGGGAATCCCAGTATCTGCAGCAGCTGCTCTTTGCTCTAGCTGACTGCTGACATTTCTTAAGGAAAGGAAAAAAAATACTTGTTGTGAGTGGAGCTAGGAATTAAAGGGGAAGCTTCTGCTGTTCAGTCCATTTCATGTAGAACAGCATCTAGCTAGGTTGGTTAGCACAAAAAGTCACAGCTGAAAAATGATTTGCATTTCATTTCTCAGTAGTTATTTTAGCTATACAGGAATGGGTTGGTGGTGACAAACATTTTTCACATATGCACACACGTGCATTACCATACAGAAAAGGGAGCACAGTGCTTGCAGGTAGCATTTCCCCCACTACCAGCCAGCATACACCGGCTCTCTGTGCTCCATCACTCCATACGTTGTGTGCCGCTCTGATCCTCGTGGTAGCAACAGGGACTTCAAAGACTTTGTGCTAGATTCTTGCCTTCTTCTCAGAATTAGTACAAAGATTATAAGAATTGCACCTGTAAGGAATGTAAACAGTGATAGCTAACATTCAAAGAGGAAGGTAAAGCATCAAGTGTTTGTTCTAGTGCTTTCTGACTGCTGTATTATCTCCTGGTTGATCTAGAAGGGATTTTTTACAATAAGGGTGGTGAGGCATTGGCACAGGATGTCCAGAAGTGGTGGGTGCCACATCCCTGGAGGCACCCGAGGTCAGGCTGGACAGCACCCGATGGAGCTGTATGTGTCCCTTTCATTGCAGGGGAGTTGGACCAGACGACCTTTCAAGGTCCCTTCCAACTCAATTCTACGATTCTAAACAAAGTGCTTTCTTCTCCTTTGGCTTGAGCACAGAGAACACTAACTGGCTAACTGTAACAACTCAGCTTTGGCATTTCAGATTTACCCTGAAAGATGTGGAGAACAGCAGTGGGTTTTAACGAAGTAACTCAGTCACTTGCTTTTCTGCTCCTGCTTGCGCTCTGTTCCACGGAACTCTCATTTCCCACCTGGCATCTTATCCATGCAGACTCACTGCACTTGTCCCGCCACGCTGAAAGGCTGTGCTGAAAAATGCTTTTGCTCTGTATGGTGCTTATAATGAAGCTCAAGAAGTAACTGACCTAGATCAACTCTGAGTCTAGACTGGGATCAGGACTGTCAGAAAAAATTTCTTTTAGGCTGTGCATAGACATGGAAATAATTGCAAAATATCAAGTACTGTGACATTTCTGTTTGTCTGTTTCTGGCAGAAGCATAATCAGGGAAAATTGATCTAAACAGAAGAGCGTGAATCTGTCACTGTGATGCAATATGTCCAGACAAATGCATCCAAATTTGGATTGCATGAACAGACAACCTCACAGCAAACAATTAAGCTGTTACCCAGCCATGAAATGCTGGCTGGCTCCTGTGTGGGCTGCTTCTTTTGCCCCTCTTCTTAGCAAATGTTGCCACCCAGGTCTTCACTGAGGAACACTGTTCTGTGGCTCAGACTTGTTTATCAGAAACGCTGATTAACTGGCCATTGTTCTGCATGGATGACCCCTTCATGTGCTTCATTTAAAACTACTTTTTCTAATTACTACTTGCTTTAGCTGGCATCTTTTGGACTGTGGCCTGACACAGCAGAACCTGGGCACCTGAGGTGGAGGAGCTTCTGCATGATCCCTGGTTTGGGACTACATCTCCGGACATCCCCAGGGACGGGGCCCTGTCTGGTCCCTGTGGCAGCGCTCCAGCACCTGCCCAGCACAGCAGTGCATTTAGTCCTTATTTATGTCTGTGGGGTCCTCAGGTGCTAAGACAGGACTTTGATAAGAACTACTAATGCTGCTTTGTTCTTGGAGAAGCTTTGCTCCCTGTTTGCTGCGAGGATTAAGATCTGATTGATCTCCCCTCTGCCTTCTAACAGCAGTGAGCTGGACTGGAGGATGAGCGTTTGGGGGCACAAAACTGTTGAGCTTACAACAGAAACTCGTGGGCATGTGGCTTTCATGCCTTAGAATACCAGGAGAAGATGAAAGCCTCCTGTCAGCAGGCCTGTCTGCACAAGTGGCACTGAACATTGCAGTTCTTTTTATGTGCCTGTGCAATGATTGCTCTCAGCTTGAACACTGCTATTCCAGCTTGCTTGTCTGCTCTTTTTACAATCCCTAACAGTAAGAGCTGCTCTTTGTATCATAACCTCTGATCCAAATTCCCCCCAAACTTGGACCTAAGACTACACAATTCTTACTTTTTCCTTTAGTAGGACTATGAATGCCAATTTGGTGTTTTGGGATTAGTGCTCCTGGTGTTGCTTCCTTGCTGAAGACTCACCCACCTGCTGGCTTCCTGCCATATCCACTAATGAGCTAATTACTGCAGGTTGCAGGTGTCTCTATTTCCCATGCCCAGTGCCTGCTTCCCTGTCACCGCACAAATGGCTGATTTTGAGCTGGAAAAGTATTAACTGTGGGCAGGGGAAATGCTTTCAGGAAAGCTGAAGTCTCATATGTGGTGGGAAATTGTCCATTTTCTTTCTTCTGGGCAAAGATATGCTACTTTTGGAGCCTGTACACACAGCTGCTTCCCAAGGACGAACAACAACCAGATATCTATTATTACTAGCATAATGTCCCTATTTAATATTCACTGATATCCCCACCTGCAAACATGAAAGTACTATCATTTGCATTGAAAGTAGTGCATAAAAATGATGAGCTGTGTGATGGAGGCACGTTTTAAAAGGCAATTTGTACATTTAAACCACTTTCAGCCTGTTAACCATATTATTGCAGCCTGACTTCTGTCTTCATATTATGACACTGTAAGTCACTGTGCCGTCAGGATGGGGAAGCCTTAAGGAAGAACAGGCATAAGGATAGCTTATGGCTCTGCAGCCCCTTGTGCTAGAAACAAGTAAGGGACACCAGCTTTCTGCTCCCTTTTAAAGGGATGAGCAACCAAAAAGACTTACTAGAAATCCAAATTTAAGGCAACACAGTGTGCACTGTGCAGAGACATAAAGAAGAGCAACACTCACCTGCTGAGAAGAGTGCCAGGAGGACAATCACCAGTGGCGTCAGCTGGCAGGAGCTGCCCACCTTGTACAGGAAGACCTCCATGCAGAACTGGGGCGCGGTGCTGCCCATGGGGCAGAAGGCATCAGGAGGGCACTTGATCGGGTTCACATCTGGGCTCTAACCAACAGGAAAGGTAAATTCCTCAGTGCCAAACAACGGAGGAGGTGGCAGGAGGGTAAGTGTTGCCTCAGTACTACGTATATAGCATGTGTGTAGCATGTTCCGGTGAGGCACTGGCACAGGTTACCCACACAAGTGATGGAGCCCCATCCTTGGAGACACTCAAGGTCAGGCTGGACGGGGCTCCGAGCACCTGATGGAGCTGTAGGTGTTCCTGTTCACTGCAGAGGAGTTGGACGAGGTGGCCTTTATGGGTCCCTTCCAACTCAAACGATTCTATGACACTTTCCTGAGTTTGGGCATGCTGTGAAACCCGCTTTACAAAGTACCCACTGCCTTGCTGTCTCAGAATAGATATTAGAAATGACAGACTGAGGCAGAGGTAGGACTAGCAGCCAGCCACCTGAAGACCTACAATATCCAAGGACCAATAAATGAACCTGCTGTCATTGAATTCAGGTCTTGTTGTGTTTTAAACACTTCTGTACCTCATTAATGGATACCTCATCCCCTAACCATGCCCTGATGCCAAGGGTGGAACAAAGCCAGCCTCCTGGTGCTCTAATTGCAACCCCACTGCTCTACAAGGGCTCTGTCTGTATTTAAGAAAAGGAAACAAGCTAAGCTAAAATTGGCCTTAAGTAAAAGTGTATTAACTGTACTTGTTAATCCCAGCTGCCAAAGCAGCCAGAACAGACTCACAGGGCAGTAGTGGTTCTCTGGACACAGGTCACAGCTCTCCTGGCCCCGCTGTGGTTGGTATTCCCCTGGCTCGCAGGGCTTGCAGGCGTCATCACCCAGACCTTTGAACGTACCTAAATAGCAAAAGAGCACATTAGCATCTGGGGCTGGACCCAGGGCCTTTGCAATTGCATATGGATGAGTGTGCTTTCAAAGCCACAAGGAGAAAATGCATGAAATACTTCATGTGCATGACAAAAACTGAGCCAGAACTTTGGCAGTAGCTGGGTGGCAAAGGGGCAGGAAGGGAAGAACAAAAGTATAGGGAAGGAACCTGACCAACACCTTGTTTCAAATCTGGAAACAGAGCGGGAGTATGGTGGGAGCTGGGTTAGTGCTGAGCTGGCAGCTTTAAAGCAGAGGGAAGTTGGGAGCCAGAGCTCAGCAGAGTTTCATCCCCTCTAATTCCAGGTTCAAGCACCTTTCCCAGCTGTTTGGAGCTTGCTGAGTGCAGTGCAACTAAGCTTTGTGAGAATGACAGGTCAAGGAAGTCACAGTCTCTAAGACATTAATGCTGGTTTGCATGAAATACATCTGGCTGCATTGCTGCAGTGCAGCACAGCAGTAATCATACTGGAGGAGGGCTTGGCACAACATGTCCTGCCACAATGGGACAGCCACCAGCACTTTTCCATTGCTTAGGCAGCAATGGTTTGCTCAGCTGCTGCCAGCTTGGCCACTCGTGGTGGTAGGGAGCAACATCGTCTAGGTTAAAAGCACCAAATTTTGGGAAGAAACCCCTCCATTCTGGTGCTGAGGTCACACACTATTATCACTCTAAACCATGCAGTGCACTGAGTTGCTCAGTGCCCACGATCACGACCTGTCACGACCCACCTGCCCGGCACAGCATACACCCCTCAGCAGCCTCATGTGGAGCCTCGTGCCCAGCAGGACAGGCCAGACACAGCATGCAGCTGGTGGTGCTGGGAGGGAGAACAGTGAGACAGCACGGTGAGCCCAGCACTGAGACAGCCCAACCCTACACAACCCGCCGGCTGCTTCTTTATGCACACACAGCCTAAGGCTGAACGCTCCGTCTACCATCTTTTACCATGTTGTAGGCATTTGTGGTGTCTATCTGCAGTGCAGTTTCTCCCATATGTCTAATTAGGGTTGGGAATGTGATGGCATTTCTATCCTTTCCTTGGTCTCTTATTTGCATGAAACTTGTAGGAACCCGATCCCCCAGCCGGGGCCGTTCCCCAGCACACTTGACTGGAACTGCTCAGTAGATGCTGAGAAGAGCAACAGCCATACGGCTGTGAAAGCCACAGAACTGCTTCTATAGCAATTAAACTGAACTTTGGCTGCAAAGTTCACCTCTCCCAGGTGCCCTCTTCCTCCACCATGGGACAGCTGAGTAAAAGTGCCTCTGTGTCCACCAGCCCCCAGCCTAGCTGAGGTGGGGGTTGGGATAGGACTGACCCCAAAGCACACAAGCCAGCAGTTGTCCTTCACTTTGCTGCAGCACTGCTGGCAGAATCCTCCTCCTTTTGTAGAATCTCATCCAAATCTCAGCACCACCAACCCTAAAGCCTGCAGAGCCCTCTGGCAACTGCTGGTGCTCAGTGGCTGCTACCAGATGTGCCACCCCACCCCAGCTAAGGTCACATGAGGATTTCTTACTTGCAGAACGATCCAGGCAGGCAAGGCAGACAAAAAGCTGCATTTTGCTGTGAGCTAAAATAACCTGGAGGAAAAAGGAGAAGGTTCTCAGGATCTTTCCTTTGCCATCCCTGTCCCCATGCTGTTAGTTGTTCCTGTTCTGCAGGCAAACAAATGGGCTCACACCCCCCACAGTGTGGGCAGGAGGCATGAAAACATGTGCCATGAGCTACAGCTGAGCAGGAGGGAAGCAAAACCCCCTCCCTCACCTTGCAAGAGAAAAGCAGCTTATTAACTTTCATAATTGCATGATCTAGAGGCCGTGCTCATAGACTTCTCTGTGACCTAATGTAAAAATCCACTGAGTTAAGGCAGTGAGGTGCCACACACTGTCACCCATGACAGCCTCCAACTGCTGCTTATTTACGTTTTTCCTCCCAAAAGTAGCAAATGATAGCCAAGATTTGGGTGTGAGACGAGCAGCTTTGTGCACAGATTTTCAAAGGACGACTTGTGCATGTGTAAAGAGCTCTTAATTGGCATCCAGAGTAGCTGTTGCATTGCATGTGCTATTTAGTATTGCCGATGGTATTAGCTTGCTGCAAACAGGAGCGTGACTGCATGTGAGACCTGTTCTTTCATTTTTAATAAGAACACCCATAACTGTGGGAAGAGATATGCTGTCCTATTTTTGGCCTGTACAGAATAACCTGTTTATTCATCAGTGCTTGTAAGTAACCCAGTGATTGCATCTGGCCATGGGTAAAAGCCTGTGCAGTGTGTGATGGGAGCGCACAGGGTTGCATACAAACAGCCCTACCTCTCTGGCACGCGCTGCAGGCTGTGGCCCCCGACTCGTTGGCATAGTGGCCAGGTGGGCAGGGTGAGCACACGGTGCTGCTGGTAGTGCTGGGGGAATCAAGCAGAGGTTAGCATGCTTTTATCTTACCGAGGCTTCTCTGTGCTCAAGACAGCGGAGCACAGCTCTGTTTCACTAGCAAGTCTGGAAATAGGGAGCAGGCTGCCCAGAGGGATTGTGGAATCTCCTTCTCTGGAGACATTCAAGATCCTCCTGGACACTTTCCTGCTCATTCTAGTGTAGGAAACCTGATGTAGCAGAGGGTTGGGCTTGATGATCTCCAGAGTTCCCATCTGACCTCTACAGTTCCATGGTTCTATGGAAAGGGAACTGAGCCACAGGCACTGCTGTGAGGGAGTCCTGACCTGAAATAGCAGGGACTGTGGGAATAGGGATGTGCCATGTCAGGCCTCTGGGAGGAGAGGGAGGACATCAAGGAAGGCAGTGGAGGAGGAAATCTGGTTCATTCATCACCAATAGAGCCAAATCCCCAACCACAAGCATGTGGGTTTAAAAATCTGTTAGCAGCCAGCCTTTAGAGGAAAACAAAGACGTGCTCTTTATTCCTTTGGAAACCCCAGGGCTGAGCAAGATTTGTGGAGGGAAAAAATTAAGAAGACAACAGGAATAGAAGCAAACACTTAGCTTAAAACAAACCAACACAAGATTGCATCAGCCACAGAGCTGCTCGCAGCCAAGGGACTCTGGGTTCTCCAAATATCACAGAAATGTGAAGCACTGCTGATGGAGCCCTGGGCAGCTGCCATGGCTCCTTTCTGTTGCCTCTCTCCTCCTTCCAGCTGCCCCCAGCTCCATGTCACACTCTCCATTGTCCCAGCAGAAGCATTTCTGCAGTGCCTTGGGATAGATCCTGATTTGGTCATGGCTGGGTTTGATGGGGCCCTGGGCAGCCTGATCTGGTGGGGGCCAACCAGCCCATGGCACGGGGTTGCAAGTGGGTGGGCTTTGAGGCTCCCACCAACCTCAGCCATTCTGTGATTTCATGATCTTTTCAAAGGTGTGGCACTGAAGCCTGGCCTGCAGGCCACCCATGCCCCAAGGCACCAAGGTCACAATTTGGGTTAGACCAAGGCTGACGCCCCTCCTGGTGCAGGGACAGGCTGACGCCTCAGGGATTTGAGGCACCTGGAGGCTCCAAGAGCTGCCAAAATGGGGAAGCATTGTGAGAAAGAACACAACCACGTCCAGACCCAGCAGAGGCTGTCACCTACTTGGTGTAATGTCCCTTTGGACACGGCAGGCACTGCTGCTGTCCCCTCGCAGGCTGGTAGTGCCCCGCTGGGCAAGGATCACAGGCACCAGGGTCCAAGCATGAGCCCTCTGTGCAGCACGAGCAGCTCCAGGTGTCTGAATAGAGACAGAGAGAGCAGGATCAGCACCGTGAGGCTTAACTTCAACCCCTCATCCACCCCCTTGGTTTGTCTACAGATCATTGCAATGGGCACAGGTGTTTGGATCCAGCTCCCCCAGCAAGACAGTTTTTGAGGGGTAGAAAATAACATTAATGCTAGTGATGCTGCTGTGTGCCATTAGATGGGAGAACAGCTGTAAGGCAATCTGTGATCCCAATTCTATCAACACAGACTTCTGGTAATTACCAAGACTGCTCTTTCTCTTCCAATTCGAGGAGAGAGGAGGGTTTTCCTTCTTCCCCACCACCACGCAAAAGTTAAAATAAATGCACTCCTTTGATTTCTGATAAATTTACATCTGTGGGAAGCAGAAAACCCCAAAGCAGAGAATCTGCCTTAAGCAGAAACAGCCTTCCTTTGCACATAGGCAGTGCAGTATTCCCACCAGATGTGAGCTCTGGCAGTCTGTGCTCCACAAAACAAATCTGAGCTGCACAGAACTATTCTGTGAGACTTGCAGTGGTGGCTCACAGCAGATCCACGCCCCCTCTCCATGCAGAAACCAGTCCTTGGCACTGCAGGAGCAAAGCATGAGCAAGAGGAGAAGGTCTCGCTAGGGCACATCCTGTACACAGCGTGGTGAAAATTACCTCCTGTGCTCTGCAGAGTTACCCTAGAGCATCCACCACAAGCTGGTCTTCCTCCCTTGGTCACTCCCTTTGCCACCTAGCATAGGAAAGCTTAGGTGAGCCCTGGCTCTTACCACTGCTGGGAATGGTCCCTGGGGAGCAAGGAGTACATGCTGTCACATTCACTCTGCTGCAGTTTGAGGGCTCAGTGGTGCTGAGGGGCGGGACCACTGATAGGACACCAGGAGATGCAGTTGCATCTGGAGGGGTGGCCCAGGCACTGCTGGATGTGGCCATTAGTGCTGTGGGTGCATGAGGGGTGGTAGCAATCCCAGAGGTGAGCGCGGTGATGCGTGGGGTGGTGGGCAGAGCTGGAGTGGGAGGGTTTGTGCTTGAGATAGCAGATGACACAACTGTAGGGGTGGTGAGGTTTGTCACTGTTCCAGCTGCAGATGGGGATGTGGGGGCCAAGGTCGCTGTGGCAATAGAAGACATTGGAGTTGGTGGAACAGGGACTTGGGTGGTAGCTGCACTCAGAAGTAGCGAGGTTGATACAACAGGGGCCTGGGTGGTGGCTGTCTGGCCTAAAGCAATACCTAAGAGAAAGAAAAAAAACTTAATGGTCAAGTTATTGTTCTTCCCTTAGTGAAGGCTTATCATTAGGTCTTAATTTTTGTGTCCTCATTTGGTGTCCAGAAATTGTCTTTGCTATGTTCCACTACAGAGCAACGCAGAAACACTGGCAGCATCACAGAATCATAGAATCACCAAGATTGAAAAGACCTTCAAGATCATCCAATCCAACTGTCCACCTATTGCCAATATTTCCCCACTAAACCATGTCCCTCAGTACCACACCTAAACATTTCGTGGACACCTCCAAGGATGGTGACTCCACCACCTACAGCCTGTTCCAGTGCCTGACTGTTCTTTAGAATAATTTTTTCCTAATGTCCAACCTGAATCTTCCTTAGCACAGCTTGAGGCCATTCCCTCCAGTCCTATTACTAGTTATGCCAACGGAGAAGAAGCGAAGCCTCACCTTGCCACAATCTCCTTCCAGGTAGTTGTAGAGAGTGATAAGGTCACCCTGAGCCTTCTCCAGGTTAAAAAATCCCAGTACTCTCAGCTGCTCCTCATAAGGCCTGTGCTCCAGACCCCTCACAGCTTCATTGCCCTTCTCTGAACACATTCCAGGCCTTCACTGTTTTTCTTGCAGTGAGGGGCCCAAAACTGAACACAGAACTTGAAGTGCAGCCTCATCAGAACTGAGTACAGGGAGTGATCTCCTCCCTGCTTCTGCTGGCAACACTATTTCTGATACGAGCCAGGATGCCATTGGCTTTCTTGGCCACCTGGGCACAGTGCTGGCTCATGTTCAACTGACCGTCAATCAACACCCTCAGGTCCTTTCCATCCACACAGTCTTCCAGCCACCCTGCCCCAAGCGTGTAGCGTTGCCTGGGGTTGTTGTGGCCAAAATGCAGGACCTGGCACTTGGTCTTGTCAAACTTCGAGCTTTGGCCTCAGCCCAGTGATCCACTCTGTCTATTTCTCTCCAAAGGGCCTTCCTACCCCAGGCAGATCAGCATTTTCTCCCAACTTGATATCACCTGCTAACTTGCTGAGGGTGCACGCAACCCTCAACCAGGTCATTGATAACAATACTGAACTGGACAGGCCCCAGTACCAACTTCTGGGGAGCACCAACGTCATCAGTCCCCCACTGGATTTAACTCCATTCAGCACCACTCCCTGGGCCCGGCCATCCAGCCAGTCTTTTACCCATCAAAGAGCGTGCCTGCCCAAGCCATGGGCTGCCACCTTCCCCAGGAGAACACTGTGGGAGTCAGTGTCTCATGTGCAGCATCACCTGCACACGAGAGCCCTGTCAAGCACATGCATTAGAATCATAAAATCATTTAGGCTGGAAAAATACATTAAGCTGATCCCAGAGCTGAGAGGTCTGACTCTCCAAGATAAAGGGTTGTGAGAATTGCTTAAAACACTTGGTTTTGCTGGTGGTGCTCAGCTTACCCTGAGATCCCTCAATCTGATTTAAGATGCTTGTCAAGTAGCTGCCTGTTTCATCCCTTCTTGGTTAAAGGGATCAATGAAGAAAAGTCATGAGTTTGGGATTTTTATTTAAGCTGCTCTGGATGCATCCAGTAACCCAAAGGGAAGCTGCCTGTGGGCAGACTAGCTTTGATTCCCAAATCCCTCCCCTGTAAGAGCAGGAGTTCTTCACAGCCAAGGAGCTGTAATCTTCAGAGAACTGCAGGGTGTTACTGCAGCACAGGGTGTTTTGCTGTGCAATGTAATAGACTGAAATGGCATCTACTGATGAAAGTAATCTCAGAAGTACATGACCACAGGGAATGGATGTTTCTCAGTCTCAGGATGGAGGAAAAGCCTGTAAAACTAAATGCAACAAGTAGCAAGTTCATATTGCATTGCTAGGTGAAACCCAAGCAAACAAAGCAAACCAAACCCAGCCCACTCCTGCCACCACAGCAGGCACACCACTTTGGATCAGGAATTCAGGGCAGGGATTTCCTCCACAGAATAACCTCAGCTTCTGAAAACACCCAGCTTCATACGGCATCAGCGGGCTGCTATGGCTGCTAAGTGCCTTTTTCCTCTCACGTGCCTTATTATGGTGAGCTACTAACACCTGTAAGCAATTCAGGGCACACATCTCTTCCATTCTTTTGGATAACACCTGTTACTGAAGTCAGAGGTTCGCAGACCATGTCCAGCCCCCTCTCCTGGGGACAGCTGGAAAAAAAAACACCTAGTAGTTCTGAAAGTAAAAGATTTTCTGAATTGCCAATAGTATCAAGCATTACAATAAAGCATCAAAGTTAGCAGGAAATCAAACTCCTTCTGGAGCTCATCATGTGAGAACTGTTAAATCAGTGTTACTTCAGGATTGACTTGGGCCCCACAAACACCATTCTCCCAATAACTCCGTGTTCCCACTCTTCCAGCCAGTGCAAGCCTCTGAGCTTGCCAGAATCCAGCAGCTGCTACAGGGAAACCAAAGGACTATTTCAAAGGGCTGCTTTAGGAGGGTAATGGAGACAGAAGAGCACAGCTGACACCCAACGGTGATGTTCAGATGAGGAACAATGGGAGCAGGATGATGATGTGGTGCTCAGAGACTGTCAGACAGGCACTGGGTGGCTGGGGATGCATGGGTCACTGCAAAGATCTTCCCAAAGCCACCTCCTTTGATTTCTTCTCCCTGGGCCTTTGATTTCTCACTCTTCGAGCTACACGCACCCACACAATGCTGGACATCTCTGGTGTCAGGGCTCAGCACCACCCCAGCATAGGCAACAACATGCCAATGAAGTTGGCTGGTAACACCAGTTGCATTTCTATAGCAAAATCAGGACAGTGAATGAAAGAGTCCTTAGAAATCTGTGATCACATGGAAACAGACTGCTCGGAGGGCTCCCTGCTATGCGTATACTGACCGCTTTGTACTCAAGAGTGTAGAAAACTGAGTCTTTCTGTAACTCCTGGGACAGGCAGCAGATGAGCAACCAGCCGTCTGGGCCATTGCCACATCTTGCTGTTTTCTCCAAAAAGAGAAACACTGAATTTAACAGTGAGGGTTTTGTTTCACATTTGTTTGCCCAAGGTAAATATCTTAGAGACCAGGAGTCATCAGCACTTGTCCTACACAGAAAGCACTGCTCCTGGCCACATTGCCTCAGCCGTGCTTTGACCCAGCACCACGATGCACTGTTCCCCTTGTCCAACTCAGCAGCCTTAACTCGGTCTACTTTACAGTGAGTCAGACATGAGGATGTCATGGTAAGCAGCTTACTGAACCTTTGATGACAGACCTGAACCTTTGTAACGTACAGGACATGCAGCCCTGCTGACCTGTGAAGTACATGGCAGTGGCTGAGAACTGAAAAAAGGCCTGAGTAGGATGGCAGCTCCTTTGCTTCTCTTCCCCCACATCAGTCTGCTATCAGTTCTTGAAGCAACCAATACTTCAAGCAAAACAAAATATAACCAAGTCAATAATTGTCTGTGTAAAGAAGATCTTTGGTGAATTCCACATGTGAATAAGCTGCTTCTGAGTTTCCCCAAACTCCATGAAAGTTCCAGTCTACAGGTTGTACCTCATCACATGATTTGGCTGTACCAGACACACAGGTACACCAAGGCTCCCAGGTAAGTGAATCATTAAGGTTGGAAAAGACCTTTAAGACCATCTGGTCCAACCATCAGCCCATCCCCACTAACCATGTCCCTCAGTGCCAATCTCTGAGTTTCTTGAATGCTTCCAGGGATGGTGACTCCACCACCTCCTGCGCATTTTAAGATGAGAGGTTATGGCCTAAGAATTGTTCTGAGAAGTTTTCACAGCATGGGGACCTCAGGGTTCCTCTGGCCCTGCCCTACCCCAGCAGAGCCACCACCAGCAGGGTGCCCAGGCCCACGACCAGGCAGCTACTGAAATCCCCAAGCAGATCCCACAGCATCTCTGGCCCCTGTGCCAGCACTCCAGCACCGCCCAGCACAGTGCTGCCTGGTGGGCAGGGGGAAAGGAACTGAGGAGCTCTATTCCAGCTGATGACCACGGGCCCTGCAAGTCCCCGACCCACTGAGTGCCTCAGGTCTGCAGGAGCAGGGACATGAGTACAGAAATATTCAGGCACTTTTACACGTGCTCCTAGGATCACCCAGTTACCAGAACACCCCCAAGAAAGGGAATGTTTCTTCCTTTGGGTTTCAGATAACGCCACAGCACTCAGTCTGCAGTGACTGAACTTACTCCCTTTTCTTTACAAAGCACCTGGTGGAGCTGTAGGTGTCCCTGTTCATCGTAGGCACTTGGACTAGCTGTCCTTTAACTGTCCAACTCAAAGAACTCTGTGATTCTGTGACTGCTAGGCTGCTCGTCCCACTTCCAGCACCGCACCCCTTTAAGGCACTGTTCCCAGCACTCCCCCCTGCCCACCCCACACTCTGAGGCCAGCGGTTTCACCAGCACACACCGTGTCCCCACGCCCCGCACTCAGCCCCACAAAGCAAAGCGGCACTGGAAGGGCTCACCTGTCAGACACGCCGTGGTCAAGCTCCAGAGCAGAGGAGGGGGCCAGACGCTCATTTTCCCTGAGCACTAACAGCTCGCAGAGGGCCGGGGCAGCAGCTGATCTCCCTCACTGAGCTGCTTATCCCACACCGCTTCTGCGCTCAACGTCGTCACCTGACTGCGATCATGCGGCTGGGCCGGATCAGCCTCCCCCCAAAAGTGTTTGTGCACAGAGGGTGCAGCAGGTCTCAATGAGGCCTCCTCGAGGTGCAGTGCAAGCTAAGCCCGGAGCAAAAGAGCAAACCTTGCTCGCTTCCCATGCAAAAACTCATGCAAGAGGAGCAAGGCACTGAGGAAAGAAGAACAGGCAGAACTGGGCCGGGCTGCAGGCCAGGCCCCGTGATCTCCTCAGGGGGAAGGATTGCACTTCTAGATACCCAGGGCTTCCTGCAGCAAGAACTACTCAGGAAGAACTGCAGCTCAAAGCAGTTCCCATTTTAACTGAGGCAATCATCACGTGGTTTGGGCTATAAGGGACCTTAAAGCTCACCACTCTGCCGTGGACTGGGTGCCCCTCACCAGATCAGGCTTCCCAGGCCTCACCACCCTCTGAGTGAAGAATTTCTTACTAACATTTAACCTCAATCTCCCCTCTTTAGGTTAAAGCCATTCCCCTTTGTCCTATCACTATCAGTCAGTGTAAAAAGTCAGTCCCCCCTCCTGCCTGTAAGCTCCCTTTGGGTACTGGAAGGCCTCAGTGAGATCTCCCTGCAGCCTTCTCTTCTCCATGCAAACAAGCCCAGCTCCCTCAACCTCTCCCCCTAGGAAGGGTGCTCCAGCCCTCTAAGCACCTTTCACAGCACTCCTCTAGACCTGCTCCAGCTGCTCTGCATTATTCCTGCAATGGGTATGCAGACAAGCCCCACCACAACCCAAATCGCAGCTCTGTTGAGCTCAGCCTGTTCTGAAAGCGCTGAACTCCAGCTGGAGGTCTCCAGAATGGCAGAGAGGGAGATAGGCATTACACACAGCACCCTGCCAGCGTCACAGCCCTTCTCAAGCCCTTCCCAGTTGATGGACCTGAGCCACATATGAGCACCCTCAGCTGCCACCCTCCAAGCTGCATCGGTTTCTGTCAATGGTTCACTCAGCCCAGAGTAGAGCAGCTGAGGGGAGGCCTCATGGCAGCTGCAGCTCCTCACAGGGAGCTGGGGAGCATTGCCGAGCTCTGCTCTGTGTGACAGCAACAGGGCCCGAGGGAATGGCATGGAGCTGTGTCAGGGGAGGGGCAGCTCAGGATTAGGGAAAGGGTCTGCAACAAGGGTGGTGGGCATGGAATGGCTGCCCAGGGCAGTAGGTACAGCCCTGAGCTGCTGGAGCTCAAGAAGTGTTGGGACACTGCTCTCAGACATGTGGGAATTCAGAACCCCCCTTCAGGTGCCCAGAGGAGGGCCAAGACAACTGCAGGCAGGTAGAACGGAGAAAAGCAAGACAGAGCTGCCAGCACTCCCAAAGGCAAGAACACCGTTGCTGTGCTCCGAGCAGGCTAACAGCTGTACCAGTACAAATGGCCACACGATGGCACCACAGCTTTGAAAAGCGAAAGACACACCAATACCCTTCAGAGCCGATACTAAAATCACCTTCACCAAAGTAAGAGTGGTGTTTTATAACAGCACCAGCAGGAACCTTCATAATAAGTGTTGTGTAAATGGAAGGGCAAAACCCCCAGCAGGGAAGCTGAAGTAATAGAAATAATAAGTCTTATTCTGAAGCAAACGCTTCAAAAAAGAAGAGCATGAGGCATTATCGTTTGGATTTCGAGCGAATTGAAAATAAACAGTAAAAATGGCCAAAAGAAAGTCAGATTCTCCAGCAGTAACTTCCAGGGCGATTCCCACAACCTGCCTCCTTCATGAAATACCTACTCGTACTGTATCAGGAAGCAGTAAGCATATTTTAATAGCAAGTACTATTTAAAAGCCACACTCCGGAACCAGCTGGGAGAACCTTCTCTGGTCTGGAACCATCTTGAAACACAGCAGGTTTTAAAAATGACATCATCTCTTCTGCTCACTCACCAGTTTTGTTTCATGCCTTATTTTTCCTTTCCTGCTGTCAGGAGAACACGTTCATGCACACCTGAGAGCAAGAGAGCTTGGAGAAAAATGAATTCTGGGTTCTATCTAAAGGTATCAGCTTGAGGACAGTGTCTGACGAGGCAGTGCGGGTCTTAGAAAGGTCAGTGTTTGGTCAGCCGTGAAACCTGGTATTAGAACAGAATCCTAAGCATGTAATAAAAGCTCTGTTTGCCTGAGCCAGCTGTGCTGTCCAAAATGTCTAGTGACAGAGATCACTAAAAATAGATGAGTCCAATTCTGAATAGGCCGTTCTCAGGAAGACAAGGCAGCCTGGCACATCCTTATTCATGTAAAATGTATTAGTGAGTCACCCACATGGACGCCAAGAACCTTTCACAGAACAAATGCTCTATGACATAAGTGAAATGTGCATCCCAATCTACTCTCAAAGCTTTGTCACAAGTGTTTTAACAGAGCAGTTGACCTGGAACAGAATTTGCTTGCCGGCTATTTGATAAGGTCGATCCGACAGGAAAAAAAACCTCAGACTATGCCTGGCACCACACAAGTGCAGGCAAGCGTAACATAGCCGTGTCACAAGGCTCCAACATAAGAAAGCTGGGATGAGGCCAGCCACAGGTCTGTATCACTCAGCATCGAGAAGTCAGTCTTCACGTTTATCACAGAATAAACCAGACTGCAGTCTGTGAGCATAAAGACAAAACCAAACCACAGAAGTCTTCCACAGCACTCCAGGACTGAGAGAAACAGCCGCTGTTGTAGCTCAGCCACAGGAGGCAGACAGCAAGCAGGGCTTATTCCACACTTGATGCCAATGGGCCAGCCATGCACTGCGCACCTTCCTCGATCCACCAGGCCCAGGCTGTGGCTTGAGCACTGAACAGTATGCACACCCACACAGCGCGGAGCCTTACCACCCAGGGATAACCAGCTTTTGTTGAATCAGCCCAGAAAGCAGAGGCAGGTATTTTGCTAACACCTCCTCCTCACAACTATCCTAACCAGCAAAACTACTGCATGTCAGCATTGCTTCGCTTCTGGAGGTGTACTGCAAAGCTGACATTTCTATGGGATACATTTAGAATGGATGTGCATAATGTAAGTATTAAAAAAATGGTTTGCTTCCATAGAAAATCTAAATTTTTATTATACATACTGTATTACACTGAAAATACGTACCCAAAGACAGAATATTTTGAATTTACAACTGTACAAAAAAAAAACCCAAAACAATAGAAAACATACAGACTATGCAATAGATGTAACATTTCACAAAATGACATTTCTTGTTAAAGGCACCAGATTCCCAGAGGGCTCTGGCTTAACATTTTTTAGTCTTTTCCAGTCAGATTACACTATGAGAATGTGATTCACTCTTAAACTGTATGATGTCAAAGTTTCAAGCTTCTATCTAGACAACAGTTTGCACTTAGACATCATTTAGTGATATTACCAATTTCACACAGAGGTATTGAGCAACCACCAAAAGTTCCCCCTCATCGCATCCAGTATCCTATGGCATTTAACTGAAAGATTAACCAGCAAAGCTACCAGTGGAAAATGAAGTTAACCCACAGAACACTGGCCCAACACAAGAGTGTTAACCACACAAAGTCTCAATAGCATTTTACGGAGAGAACTACAGAGCACTAGAGCAGGAAAAAGGAGGAGGAAGGAATCTGTAATCGGTACTCTTGCTCAACATCCTCCTTGGGCTCACCTTCATTAAACTCATTTCACTTTCAAGTCCTCACTCTTGAAGAAAATGGAGCCTGAAGAAACCTAGGACTTTGTAGGGCAAGTTCTTAAGAAGCCTGTATATGTGTGTATGTGTTCTTTCCATCCCCCACCTAACACACTTGGACAGGTTAAAAAAAAGCCACTTTCATTGCTACAAGCCACATTGTGTTCATTTTGTGCCCTGACATGCTCACAGGTGCTTGTTTACAAGCAAAGACAAGAAAATGGGACATCCTGCCTTGCTGAGGTCCAGTAACACACTTAGGAAGTTTGGGCTTGCTGTTTCCTAAAGCTTCATGCTCGGGCAAAGGGAAAGAACGCAGAAGTAAGAAAAGCCACAACTACTGCGGTCATTCGGTTAGTACACCGCACATCATCCTGGAGTCAGCAAGAGCTTTTGTTTAGTTTTGCAGCACACGCTGAGCATCACTGTATAGAATCCAGCTCACAGCCAAGTGACTGAATATTTAAGATTAAAAAAATATCAAGTTCCAAGGCCAGAGTGTTCTGTCTGCAGCAATTCCATTACACTGGAATTCAGATGCTGGCGTTGCCCTGTCTGAATTGCCTGGCACACTACATTTTCTCCAGATAAAAGAGCTCCATGTAGTTTCACTTCTTACCATAACATTGCAAAATCTTCCCTTTCTTTAGGCATTTAAGAAACCTTTCAAGATTCACAAATCAACTTGCAGTAATGCTATAGTGTTGAGTGTCATAAAGTCGCTTTTAAAAATAAATTATTTTGCAGCGCCATCTCATCCTAATAACCCAACAATTAAAAATATACTATGCTTCTGCTTAAAATTTCAATATATTGGGCATGACTTCAAGCAGGCCTGCAGATCAACTTTGTTACACAGCAAATAAGATCTGGTAGCAGCACGGTAGGCTTCCAACACTATCTGTGTTCAGATGACTCAAATTTATTCTACAATGACTTCTTGAAGGGACGGCTGCTTCCATCCCAGCACGACAGGTTGAAATACAGACTTGTGGGTTAGTGAACTACAGGGTTAGTGAAGCACCTCCACTGATCTCAAGAAAGCTCAGTCATCACACAGCAGCTGCTTCTCACTACCAAACTGCAAAGGATCTCAGATGAGCAGTTTACAGTAACAGTGCACACCCCTCAAGTCAGCCAATTTTCTAAAACATTTATTCTAAAATTGTATTTGGTACTTGCAGTTTATCTAGCAAGTAGGAACATTTAAGACAACTATTATACATGTTTAAAGAAAAATGGTCATCGAAAAAAAAAACCTTTAAAAATCTGAATGCAGACAAGAAAAGGAATGTTACTTTCTTTTAAACCTTTACTTTAAAAGATGAATACTTTCACATTCTACTATTAGCCCTTACTGTGCAAGATATAATCAAATAAGTTACAGCCATGAAAATACATTTTCACTGAACTCATTCTAAAAACTAAAGCCCACTACTAATCCTCACTTGTCAGGCCGGTCTCTAGCTGCTTACAGGAAAAAACACTACCAGAATCACAATCTGCACTGCTTCTGAAACGGGCTAATAGGAGGTGGAGGAGAGCCCCCAGTGTGATGGTGAAATGAGGAGCCTAACGTTCACACTAGAACATGCACAACACTCTGTAATGTAAGCAGATGCCACTAAATGACCTGCCCACTACAGGAGCTAGAACATTCTGTCTATTTGCTCAAATAAAATGAAGGAATCTATAACTTTGGTCACATTTTAAAATGCTGTAAATATAGATTCTCTTCTCGCTTACGCTTTCCCTCTTCAGTTGGATAATTATTTTGAGAAACTAAAAATAAAAACGCAATAAAAATTTTCCAGTACAAAATATTCTAAACAATCACCTAAACATCTTATTATGTTACATGTACTGAAGGGATTTGGTCTGTTTTCTTTAAAAAAAAAAAAAAAGAAGAGAAAAGCCTCATTTTGTCCTACAAGTTCCACTTTAACATGAACCTCCAGTCAGCCTAAGGTACCCTCTCAGCAGCAGAAAACCCACTGCACTGTGTTGTACTTCTTCCTTCCAAGCACCATTCCCAACTAAGCACAGCTCTACGCACAAGCACTGGCAGAAACCAGACATTTAAACCAAGTCTCCCTCGAAGAATGCAAACAAGGCTCCAAACGAATCCTGAACTATGTACACAATCCCTCGCAATAAATGCAAGCTATACTTGAACAATTAAGGACAGCTGAAACTAATGGTGTTACAAAGATCAAAATGTGCTTCTCCTAGAAGGGGATACATCTAAGGCACATTTATATGCCAGAATAACTGCAGCCACATTAATGATTATACTGATAACTACACAGGTAGGAACCACAGCTATGCTCATTCTGAACTTTTTGGATAAGGTGATCAAGCACCTTATGATTGCCCAACCAACCATACTTTACCACCACCTCCTAATCATCTTATTCAGAGATTGGTTGATGCAACCATCTCCAGGGCCATTTAAAAAACAAAAATGCTGCAATCAGTATTGATATGTTCTAGCCTTGTTTCCTCCCAGGCTGTTTGAAGGACTTGGCATGCAATAGCCACTGATAAGCTTTTACCCTAAAAATGACATGGCAATGATTTCCACACAGCAGCAGCCCACTGCTTCCTTTCAATTTTTCCCTGGTTATGCTATTTTTTCCCCATCAGAAAACTATGATATTCAGTTTTTCTTGATCTCAAGTAATGCCAAACATAGGTTAACTCATGCTGTTTATGGACATAGACAATATAGCAAATGAAAGATACTCAATCCCATCCTATGCCTCAAGAATAAATGAGCTGGACATACAGTGGGTACCATTAGACCCTAGGTATCTATCACCTGCAGTATTTAGGTGTACTGCACCTGAATTACAAAACAAAGCGCCCATGTGGTGCTTCCATGTGCTCATGGAACCCATGTAGTCAAAGAAAATAGTTTCTTTAAAAAATAAAGATCTGTGCCCTTGTTTAAATGGTAAACTGTGAATGACTGTGCAGTAGTCTTCTCTTCAGGTACTCAGAAGTAAACTGCTCCCATCTTTAATCTTTCCATCTTTCCGTTGTGATCTCCTCTCCTCTTCCAGCATCTTAAATTGCATTAAAAAAAAAAAAAAAGAACAGAATAAAAAGCCACCAACCACTTCCTCCCTCAAATCACCTTTTCCAGATAATAAAAAAAGGAAAAAAGTAAATTCAACACCATCTTCTTCTGCATTCATTGAGCCCAGTTAGGTTGAAGAGCCACAACTTCTAAGCTGGAGGGTAATAAATGTACACAAATGCCATTTTGTACAGTTGACATACTCTATGAGCTGGTTGACTCTAAGCTTGATTTGGTCCAGTCTGCTGTCGCTGCAACTCTTAAGAAACATTAGTAATAGGTTTGTACTTCTTGAATCTGGTCCATTCACCAGTAGCATAGTTCATTTCAAAGACTGTATCAACCAACATAGTGGTGCTGCCAGTGCCATCTGCCTTTGGTAAATCTTCTGTATGCTCACTAAGTTTAATCTGAATGATGTCACCTTGCTCTTGGCAAGGATTCTCTGTGGAAACAAAAACAGAAACAAGTTGAACATTTTAGCATTATGAGAAAGTGAAGAGCACTTGATGGAGATTCAAAACCTTACACTGAAAAATACACAGTATTTTCTATTAGTTCTGGGTTTATCTCTACACCACGTGGCCAAAGACTTTTTTCACTCTGTACATCATGGACTTTATTTCTCTTATAACAAAACCAAACCTCTAAAGATAAACCTCAAAGACAAAGTAATTGGAAGAACAGAAGTGAGTCAGTGCAGGGAAGCATGCCAATGCCTCTTTGATCTGCCTCAAGAACTTTACATTTTGGATTTGCTAAGCTTGAACCTACCAAACTTGCTCTATCTGGGATGCATTTCACATTTTAAAGAATTCAACAGTTTTAGTAATTGTGGAAGCCTTAACAGATTCATTGAAGTTACTGATCTATAAGGCCTGGTTCCATTCCAGCACATGTACCAAGTGTTACACGTCCAACTATTGGAACTGACAGTCAGGAAAATCAGGAATATCCTAGTTGAAAGTTATTTCCCCAACTTTCAAGAAGTACTGACGTTACTAGCTAGGAATTTATATTATTTACTTATGTATATTCACATATGTAAAAATTCACATATGCAGAAAACACACATGCACACTGTCAAAATAACGTTTACCTCACATCACAAAAATATCAATATAGGTATTAAAGTACATCCTGCTACAGTGTTCTGAAGTGGTAGGAAGAGCACCCATGAATGTAATAAACACAAAACTTTCTTTAAGCCCTGGGATCATCATAGTAACTCTATCCTGGCTATCTTGAATGATGTACTACACTAATCCAAATGCATAAGCCACATTTAGACTTCAGCACTCCTCTGACAAGAGCTTTCAAATATCAACCTAGAAAGCAGAGCCAGTGCAGATGATAAAGTTCACTTGAAGACTCTTAGGCTCCTTCTCGTATTACATTTAGTAGACAACTGAGTAGACAGTCTTGGTCTATCAAGGGCAATATACAAGAACAAGACTACAGCTCATCTCCCTACGATTTTCAGCATCTATACCTGAAGTAGGAGAAAACAGCTGCTGCATTTCTGATGTTCCAGAGCTACTGAAGAGGCTCTGTATTACACAATTTGTACATCAGCTTGTTATGGGAGAATTTGCATTCTGTCTTGTAGGCAGAATACTAGAACCCAATCAGCCTGTTCACTGTTCCATTTGGACAGGCTTGAGTCTCCTCAACTACTAAGCAGTATCACACGTGCTTGGTTCAGTTCTGTTTTGTGCTCAGTGACTGCTCTGAGATTATTCTATTTTTATGAGAAAAAGACTAAAAACTACTTCCAGGTAGCCAAAACTTAATCCATTACAATAATCCCAGTCCAGAGTAAACTAGATTCTAGCACACCTTGAGTGAAGGTCAAGCAGGAGACATGCATTCAGAAATGCTATGCTTTGTTTCAGACTGGAGATAGAAAAGCAAAATAATTTAATTTCAATACATACCTCTGGATCCTGCCATGAATCCAAGTATAAGAGCCTTTTCTGGCCTTGTAACTTTGTTTGCAGTCTTGAACATTTCCTGTGCAGCATACATTTGCTCCCTCTGTAACAGACACAAATATGAATTCCAGCAGAAAAACATAAAATAAACACCTTAACCTCAAAGCTTTTCATCTTTAATGCTTATATCTAACACTTGCAGCAGTGACAATTCTGAAACTTACACTGAAGTAGGCACTTTAAACAGTTACAGAAACGTGTTAAGAGACCTGCTGTTCCCACTCCATATTGTGTTAAGACCTCAGTTTAAATTAAAAAAGTGCCTCTACATCCTAAAACACACAGACTTGCAGTAGTTTCAGTGGGAAGATTTTTCTTTTTAAATGAAGCAAAGCTACTGAAAAGTCAAAGCTTCTTAAGGTTCAGATCTTGCAAGCTGGGCTTACAGAGGTGCTTTGTGAAGTCTTCAGAGACAGTCATATCTCAAATTGGTTACCTGACTCATTTCAAGCATGTGCGTAACATACAAACATAGGAACAGTAAGAAGCTTCAAGGTAAGTGTTATTTATTTACCTCTGTACTCCCAGGCTTTTAAAAACTGATAACAGATCGGGGGGGGGGGGGGCAGGAAAAGAAATCAAGAGTTTTGCCTTTATTCTACTGATACCTTCATTCCTACCAGTGCAACAACACGACCTTTTCTAGCAGCTTATGCTATAAGCAAGGCTAAAGGCACTGCTGGAATTATGCCTTTCTCCCAAATTCTTTGCAACAAGGAGCACGTTGTTTTATGTAATGTACAGCAGGAAATAAAGACATAAATAAACATAAATAAAGACATCTTACTCTAACAGTAACATTGCACAAATAAAAAGTTGTGATTAACATTTCAAGCAGCAATGATAATGAAGCTGCACGAATATTTTCTTTATCTTTGGTTGCAAACAAGCAGCTCAGTTACATTGTCAAACTTTTAAGTAAGATTGAAAATAAATTTTGCTTTTCCAACCTACATCAAAAGCTTCAGCTAAAAACAACCTATTTGTTACTTACTGTAAGAGAGAGGCTTTTTTTCGGTGGTGGCTGTTGTTGAGTTTGAGGGGCCACTTGTGGTGCCTGTGCTGCAGGGGAGATGGCAGGAGGTGTGGTAGGTGTGAGGGGTGAGGTAGGTGTAGTTGCAGGTGGATTCGAGTTACTGTTGTACATGGGAGTTCTTTGCTTGAATTGCGCAGGAAGAGTTGTGGTAGCATTTGGAGCTGCAGGCTCTTCAGTCTGCCTGTTAGTCTGCAAGGCCTCTCGTGCAGAGCCAGCTGCAAAAAACAGAGTAATTAAAAGTATAACCCACAAACAAGGCTCAGCATCACCAATGGATTTTAAAAGGATCTAAAATTCCCAATTCTTCTATTTATCATAATAACTCTAAGCATCTGAAAACACCCACCTGAAAACATGAGGAGTTAGTGCTCTCCACAGACCATCACCTTCATCAGTTAGACAGTAAAGACATTTCCAATATGGATTACACCACATTCAGAAGCAGATTTCATCTTTAAGTTAAGCTTAAATTGATCTACTTTTTAATATATGTTGCTATAACATCTGTGTGCTGACCCCACAGTCTGTCATACTGTGGTTTTGATTCCTGTTTTTTTAAACATAGTGCAGTCTCAGACAGTAACAAATACTGAAAATACACAAATATTTGCACAGATAAAATTAAAAGTCCCCAAAATAATTCATTTAAACATTAACTGCTAAGAGGGCTAAAACCCTCACAATATTGAGAAGTTGATTTATTTGCCTGTACTCAGCCATCCAAGGAAGCTCCTGTTCCAAAGCTGACTGCAGCCAGAGGTAAGGTATATCACAAGTTACCACGTTATCCAGCAGACAACAGCCAGCCAGTGCACATTCCAGCTACTTACATTCTCTTGCAGCTCTTTTGACATAGGTACAACTACTTAAGTACCTTTTTAAATGTCTCATGAAATTTAAACTAGCCTATACTCATCTGTGTTCACAACAAACCAAAATGGCAGATACACATCACAATTCAGCTGATTCCTTTCAGACCAAGTTTTAGAGAATGTGAAGCTTCCAGTACTCTCATCATCTAGGCATGGATACAGCACTGGCTTTAGCAGGATGGCTCTTAGCCAGCAAGATACTAGCCATTCATTCTGTACAAATCTCCACTTTCATTACCAGCTTCACCCCGTGTCAGAATCAGTTTGCATAAAGTAACTACATCTTAATTACACAACATCAGATTACAAGAAACAAAATTAACAGGTCTTTAAGAAAACAGCACTCCTTGTCTGTAAGGAAAGTTAGAAAAAAAATGAAAAAAAAAAAACAACAGGAGACAAAGACAATAGAGAATTTTAAACTAGGCTTTTTGTGATGTGGAATACACTGCCAACGCTCTGGAAAATAATACTAGCTGCTGACAACACTGATGTGCTTTTGGCTGCATTCCTTCCAGAGATGCCAATTTACTGTCAGAGAGATTTGCATAGACCTTCAGAGAGATTCTGAACTGTTTCAGAGCCAAGTGATTAGTTTTTCTGTATGACTTTTTCTACAGGGACCAACATGCCACAGCTCATACAGGGAAAAGCTACAGTAACATTTAACAAGCAAGAACAAAAATAACACAAACTGCAGAGCTGGTTCTGTGTTAACTACAAGCTCTGGTAATGAACCCCAGTCACGTACATTTGTTAGTACAAGCTGATATGCTGCCATACGACTGCACATGCAGCAGGGAAGGGAAATTAAAGGCCGGTGTATTAAAGAGTGGAAAAAAAGGATTTCTACAAAAGGATGTGTTTTTCCCCCCCTTCAAAATATGCAGGAACTTATAAAAAGGTAAAAGGAAAGTGGAAAAGAATGCCTGTGTCAAAGTAAATAGTACTTGTTTCTAAGAACATATCTGACACTTGAAAGCAATTACCTGTTCTTCAAGTGCATGGAGGTGGGTGTGTGTATACCCAGCATATACTCTAAGATTTACTTATACAAACATATATATAAATAAATATAAATCTCACTAGTGTTTCTTTGGAAATTAAAAAATACGCTGTATTTCCTATAACAAGGATAGAAAATAACCTACAAAATTAAGTAAGCAAAACAGTTAGCCTTTTTTAATTCTTAAAAATATATATATATAAAAAAATCAGCATTTTCTTTATTTGTTTCTTAGGTGCAGATATTTAGGTAATTTAACCTTCCTGCAATGGGTTTTCAGATTGCCAAGAGTTCCAGAGTTGAAGAACAGTAAGTCAGTAAATAAAAGAAGTCAGCCAGCAAAACCAAACAGATCAGAGGTATAAAGTCCCAGTAGAAGAAAAAAAAAAAAAAAAAAAAAAAAGCATCTTACTTACCTGGCTGTGATTCAGAACTCGGGATGTATGAGGAAGATGGCACCACACTGGGAGTAGCAGGTAAATAACTTGTAGAAGGCAGCGCTGGCTCATTGTTCAGTGAGCCAAGTTTCTGTAAAACATGAGAAGTGTTACGCCTGGTGAAGTACCACAGAGTGCATAGAAGGCCTCTGGGACATCAGCATGCAGAAGGCCTAACCAGAGGTAAAAGCTTAAATAGGACTGTCTGCACTCAAACAGGCAATCATCACCAATGTAGGACACAGATACCATCCTGCATCAAGCAAAAGAAATCACTTGTTTTGTACTTAGAGCACAATATTGTGCACATTTCATGAAGATTAAAAATGCCATTAAGAGAGGGAGTGGCCACCTCTGAGCTTCATGGGTTTTAGGAAGAGATTATAAGCCAAGGGTATTCTGGACAGAAATCAGTTCCTTGTATTTCTCCCTCCCTTTCAGTAATAATAGGGCTGGCTTAGCCTCATTACAGACATATGTGAGACCTCAGAAGAAGCTGCCTTCTAAATTAAACAACATCTTCACAAGATTACAAAGGAAAATGGAGAAGAGAGCCCCAGAATAGTACTAGCATAGAGGTTCTTTTTTCAAGCCAGAAGACTGATGAATTTTTGAAGATTTCTTTCTTGTTCAGCTACATATATTCAGTTATTCCTCCTGAGATATCCCTCCATGCCTCACTGTGTTTCTCAACATTGTTTCAGTAGGGAACCTTCCTGTCCCCTACTTCTGACAGAAGGTGGTAGTCCTCAATTGCATAAATGCCATACCTTATCATAAACTTGTAGCAATGAACTTCACCCTGATCCTGATTTTTTTTTTTTTAAATATTGTTCAAAGATAGTACAGTGCAATTTTGAAATAATTATGGAACGCGCTGGTTTTTTTTTTTTTAAATACATTTGAAGTCTTGTTTCAACAACTTAAAACAATATAATTACAGTGTTTAAGTGTTTTAGAATAACACACATCATAGTTTTCTCATCTCTGTTATTTGATTGCGTGGTAGGATTTTTCCCTCTGATGCTCTGTTTATACCTGTGTAGACACAAGGCCAGCAGCATAATCTGGAGTAGCATTTTCTACTACCGTTTCTTCTTTGGCTTGCTTTTCCACCACTTCTGTATCTATTGCATAAAAACAAAAGTCAGTTCAAGGAAATATGCTTAAATACCAAATTTGATTTAAACAGGGATCTAAAACAAATCACATTTTCAAAGAGTTTGCTAGAACATTCCTTAGAAGCATATGCTGAAAGGATACAGTAGTGAATATACAGTGATCTTCATATACAATTTTATGAACAACCCAATAATTAAGTTTGTACCCATTTTTCTGGTAAACTTAGCAGATGAGTTTCAACACATCAAGAATAAAACCTGGTGTATCTGCATGTATCCTAACAGCCTTTGAAAGCCGTGTTCCATACTAACCTAATGTCTTTCTTCTTCTCTTTGCTTCACGGCCAGCACCTACCATATCCAGCTCAGAGAATTCTAAAAGCTGAAGAAAAGAGTGCAGAATCTTAGCAACAGCAATATAAATTTAAACTACTTCAATACTATCCTTATTTTTTTCTTTAACACGCTGATGCTTGATTCAAAACAGCAGCAAAAAGTTATTTTACAATGGGGAGAACTGAGCAGGAATTCACCTACCTTTACTCCTCTTTCTTTACGCAAAGGCGTTCTTGAAGGAGGAATAGGATTTCTGTTTCCAGAAGGGTTAAATACACTAGGTGCTGAAGTACTCCTGAATGGAGCTTGTTTTGGTATTCCTTTGAGTGGTGCTTAAGTAAGATCAAAAAAAGTAACAATTAAAACACCAGCTTCACTAATTACAAAAACACAACGAGGTCTTTACTTTATCCCCTTCGTAACACTCCCCCTAACTTCAAAAGTGTCTAAAATGGAACTCTCTACAAAATACTAAATGTTCTTCAAACTTCAGATTGGATTTTATCTTCCAAACAAGGAGAGTCACTCCCCACTAATGTTTGCATTCCCAAAGTTTAAGTAATTTTTATTAGTTTTATCTTCATTATTTTTCTATACGTTCTAAATGAAGTAATGAAATCAGCACACTGCTATCAGAATATACTCTTCTACATATATTCATACTTTCCTTACTTACAAAAACAAACTTCGAACCCATACAAGCTATTAAGAGTGAATGTTTTGAACCCTACTGCTTCCAGTTACTCTTTAAACTTCAAGATCTGGCTACTTGGTAAAACTGTATCTACCCAAGATTTCTGGCCAAAAGCTGTTACAATTCTTACAATAGATTTTGCAGTGCTTCCTTCCTTTCAGGGAGCTCACCCTTTGTGCCTACTGAGGAGTCTCAACTTACCACAGGCTGCGTTAGGACTAAAGGGGTCAGAGTCAGACCTATTTGTGGATGCCATAACATGCAGAACATCGTGAATAACCAAGATTCACAGTGCATTTGTGGAGTACACTTTTTTTTTTTTTAATTCAAGGCAAAGCTTTTGCAGGATGATCAACCTACTGACCTTTGTAAGGCACAACACATAGCTGCCTACTTCTGAGAGTTAAGAAGGCAGGAGAGCTCTGGCAGCACATCACAGCTGAAGTACTGTGATACTCCCCTCATTGAGGGTGCCACCACTGCAGGCTGGCAGTCAGCACCACACAACTCCTATGCAAGAATGTACTGTGAGGGGAGCCACACCTGGAGAATTCCTGGTGGCACAAGAGCCACCCCAGCTCTTCAGAAGTGTCACAAATCACCACTTTTATTAAAGTTACATCAACCCAAATTTAAATTTTTGGTTCCTCCACAAAACTGACTATTGTACTTTGCACCTCTGAATATAAAAGCATAAACTGGCACTGGAACAAGCTCCCCAGAGAAGCAGTCAGAACTCAAAGCCTGCTGCAGTTCCAGAAGCATTTGGACACTGCTCTCAGAAATATGGTTTGAATTTGGGGTGGTGATACGGAGAGCAAGGAGTCAGACTCTATGATTCTCATGGGTCCTATCCAACTCATGGAATTCTGTGATTCTATAGCTTCTACATCCAGGCTCACAACTTTTCCAGCTCCTGCCTTTAAACTCACAAAGGAATAAAAGCACTAACACCTTGGAATTTGGAGAAATGAAGATATAGCTTCAAAATTCTCCAAGGTAGGACGCTGTCTCAGATGAAGATGCTCTTTAGCAAGTTACATTACATTGCAGTATTGGCTCAGCAAAGCTCAAGCCTTTTGTAATCCAGAGAATGATGAATTACTGTCTCACAGAAGGGTTTAAAACGCTGGACCTATGGTCTGCACAGGAAGTATCCAACTTAGCTCCATACTGCAAACAAAAGAACTTGCTGCCACAATGCTCAGTAGAACAGAAGTTGCTACACCTATGATGGTGTTTCCCCGGACTTTACAATGTTGTCCCTTGACATCACACTTAAAATAAGCACTGAAAACAGCATTCGTTCATCAACTGCTAAAAAATTAGATAGACAAATGTATTTATCAGGTCATCAAGCCTTATGGCCTACAAATCGAAAATCGACATTTTAGGTCAAACAGAATTTTGGTTTGAGGCTGGTTACTCTGAACCCCACTGTATGTTTTACTGAAGACATTTTCAGCATAGCACAATTCTTACCAGTGTTTCAGCGCTGTAAATCCCAACTGGTCCCATAATTGGTATTTCTAGAAACCACCTGACTCTAAAGACTGGCTTTATTATTCAGAGGCTTAAAATGAGAACTCAAACATCAACAGAACTGACAGTCAATTTTTACACTGGGACAATTTTTAGTGCAAATTACAACTACGCTCCTTGCATTTCCTGCACAGACCTGTGGCTAAGTACTCTGGTACTCAAACCTATGTATTAAATGCATCAACAAAGTGCTTTTTAGCTTCTAAACATCACACCAAGAAAATACTCAAGTTTTGTATCTCAGCATCATATTGACTGCCAGAAAAACTATAATGTTATTTAAAGTGTTACTAATTTCAAACCTTCTTCCTACTCCTAAAACTTATTAAAAAAACAATTAGGCATTTCTGGAATGTGAGTGAACAGTTGATACTCTTACATTAACAGATATGAAAAACAAGTACTGCTATTTAAATAGAAGCAACACTAAACAGTCTTAGCTACTGTGTACCTTCCCACTAAAATACTATGCTAGTTAACACTTAGAAAGTAGTTAAGAATATCAGAATGATTTATTGGCTCTAGTGTTCCTTATCCCTGTTTGAATCTGTGTGATTGAGATTGATTTGCACTCTTCTTATACCCTGTGTTCAAACCATCCTCTGCAGTAATCACAAACTCTTTCACGTACTATCTCCACTATTTTCCCCTCCCCTTCTCCGTGGGGAATCATAAATGCAAGCTAGATTCAACCCACTTTACAATAGTTCTAAGACCACAGATAACTGTGAGCCACTCATTCTGCTCCCTCTTGGAGGGATGCAGCTTACTCAGAAGTTATTCCTGGATTAATGCAAATTAAGTTCTTACTGAAGTCTGTAGGCATGATCTAGCTGCACGCATCCTAAATAAGCATGGCAGATACACTGACATCTAACAGAACATCACCCTTCCTTCTCATAAGACTTGTTAAAAGCATTCAAAAAGCAGTAAAGAGACAAAGAAGGGGATATATATTTTGCTTCAGAAGGAATTAAGCTTTTCTAGGAAACAGTAATTTTAGACTTCAAAGCTATTTCATCAGATTTTCTTTCAGGGAAGTGATACGAGTGAGCCATACTTGTTGTATCAATCTTTTTGACCAGTCCCCTGCCCTTGGCATGAAAAGGCACTCCTGCAGTCTTCTTGAGCTGTTGAGCAGTTTCTGTTGCTACAAAAAGAAAATAAAACCCAAAACTTCAGTTATTATAATGACTGTGCCAGAAAATACATAGTTTCCTACAGAAAACATTAACTAATATGTAACAATAAAATGTAATTAACTAAAAACTATGAATGTCAACAAGAACTATATTGCAATTATAAAAAAAAAAAAACAAGTAATTTGTGATCTACAACATACTTGGAGAAATGCAAAACAGGTACAACTGCAACTGATAGGATGGCCAGAGCTACAATAAAGACAATTTATTCAACAGAGATTGAAATAATTTAAGTTCCACATAAGATTGAGATGTAACATCTTCCTGTAACATTTACAGGTTTGTTTTTTTTTAACACCAATCTCTTGGGTCACATGCAAGAAAGTATCAAGCTGCTCCAACACAGCAGCAGGTACAGGAAACTACGTTAAGATCAGTGAGATTAGCTACCAATATATAGTGCATACACATGCTGCCTTTTGTTAGTGAAAACTATTGGCTTTCACCCCTTATACAGCTATCCTGAGCAAAATGAAGCGTTAACTAGCAGCTCTTGCTCCTCATTGCAGAAACATATGGCGTATTAAATTGTTTCAGGAGCTTTAACCAAAGCTGTCCCTCAAGCCTTCACTGCTGACTTAAATATACTTATGAGAGGACATATCTATGCTTTAAAAATATACAGCTTTTTGTATCCCTTGAAGTCTGAACAGCATTTAAATCAAGATTAGCATCTTAATATAATCATAGCTAGAATGACTTGCACCTGCTCTTCCACACATGCTGTCAAGAAGGTGTTGGGGTGCAGTCACATTTCTTATAGCAAGAGATTTTGGCATGTCTCCACACTGCACAATAAGACTGAGAAATTTTCCTTTTGCTGTTGTTACTCAGTGTTATAACTGGCTGTAATACTACTTACACTTCTGCAAGAGTTCAGCTCGGAGAGTGGCACTTTTAGGTTTCCTTTTCAGCTGGAAGTGTTTGACTGGGGGGGTAAGTGGCCCCGCTAGTGTTGTCAAGGCATTTTTGTTTAAATACTGGCATTCCAACGGCAACATAGCTGATGTTTCACCTTCACTTACTGCATAAAGAGTTAAGTACACAGAGCTATAAGCATCTCTTCGACAGAATATTGCAAAACATTCTACAACTAGACTGTATAGGTATTTAATGAAGTTTAGATAACTCATTTAAACACCATGAATAATCGAGTTCTCATCTGAACAGTACACAGCCAGTTATTAGGGTGCTTTCTACATTAAGTCTGTAAGCTCCCATACTAACTACACCTAGACAAACAACAGGAATTTTAAGTGTGCTACAGTTTTAAAGATAGATAAAAATGATAAAATCCTCCGTTTCTTTCAAAAACTACACATAGAATCATAGAATTACTCAGGTTGGAAAAGACCCTAAAGATCACTGAATCCAACCACAACCTAACCATCCTACCCTAACTAACAACCCTCCACTAAATCATGCCCCCGAGCACCACATCCAAACGGTTTTTAAACACATCCAGGGATGGTGACTCAACCACCTCCCTGGGGAGCCGATTCCAGTGCTTAACAGCTCCTTCTGTAAAGAAGTTTTTCCTGATATCCAGCCCAACATGAAAAGGAAGCTATTGAATGAAAAGCCAAACCAAAACTGCAAACACACAAATGATCACAGAATTAGAATGGTTTGGGTTGGAAGGGACCTGTAAGATCATCTAGCTCCAGCCCCCCTGCTATGGGCAGGCACACCTCCCACAAGGCCAGATTGCTTGAACCCCTATCCTGCCTGGGACTAAACACCTCCAGGTGTGGGCATCCACAAGCTTTCCTGAACAACCTGTTACAGTGTTACTACCCTCAAGGTACAGCATTTTTTCCCTAACATCTATTCTACATCTACCCTCTTCCAGTTTAAAGCCATTTCACCTCATCCTGTCACTACATGCCCTTATAAAATCTCCCTCCCCAGCTTTCCTGTAGGCCACCTTCAAGTACTTGAAGGAAGGCCATTATAAGGTCATCTTGAAGCCTTCTCCAGGTTGAAAAGCCCCAACTCTTTCAGCCTATCCTTGGAGGGAAGGTGCTCATTTCTTCATAGAGACAAGTTTGAGTCACTCCATTATTGTCTTACAGCAGTCCTAACTCCAAAGCCACTTCTGACCACTAATGCCTACAAGTTTGTTTTTTTTCCTGGACAATTTGCTAAATCAAACCCACCTAAATAGGAATAGATTTGCTAGCTGGACAACTGCAACTCAATTCTCCTTTTGACCAGTCCCCTTAACTCCTCCATTTGTTGGCTAAAGGAAGACTGAACAGAGGGCACCTCCTGTGCCCAACACAAATGTTGCTGCTCCCAGACACACAAGGTACTGCAAAAAAAGTTTTACTGCAGTCTTTAATATAACAACATACAAGATAGAAGTACATTAAACTGTTACTGCACATTAATAAGGCGAGCTGTTATTACCCAACACTGCACATACAGACTGCCTACAAAGCCAGTGAAACCACATTAGCTTCAATGTTGCCCTTTAAAATTACGTAGGCACCTGACATGCAAGCTCTGATGATTTGTGGAAAGATAATTTAAGAGGTTACCATTCCTCAAGTATCACAGCTGCCCATTCAGGAATACACCAGGTCATGAACTGCGGCAGTTGAGAGAAGACATACAGCTTGTCCCAACACCACTCAGATACCTCAACTGCCTGGGCAGAGACAGGCTATTCCTGGAAAGAGATCCCACATTTCCATCATTCTCAACAGACACTTACCTTTTTCTCTAAGTTCTCCTAAAATATCTTGAACATTGGGATTCTGCTCTTCAAGATCAAGGTTAAGGGAGCCAGTATCTGGAAAGGATTTTAAAATATCAGCTACCATTAAGACCCAGGGGTCTGAATCCAAGGTAGCGAGCTGGACAATTTCAGTCAGTGCCCCCTTCATCTAACAAAAAAAGAAAAAGAAAATCAGCCAATTGGAAACAGTTTTAAACAAGTTGAAGTTGGGTTAATTTTATATTTGTTAGACACTAGGATAAACATGCACAATGTTTTACTACTAGGGAAGGGAAGAAGGAGACTACATCACAGTTAAACATTAACTCTAGAACAAAGCAAAGAATGAACCAAGATTTGTTTTTAATGTTGCTTTTGGTCAATTTAACAAGTGCATTTTGAACTTCTGACAGCTCAAAGCTTTGTTCACCTCAGATAATTTTCATTAAATACAAGCCAGAATCTTATGGTATTGTCTTGGTACGTTCCACAGCCCACTTACAATTCTATGTATCCACACCTTTATCAGTGCTAACAATATTCAACTAGAAAACAAGTTATTTAAACAGACATCTAAATGAAGATGGACCCCTCTTTGTGCTACAGAACAGCAGCTAGACCATTTCTACATCACACCAACATAAGCCAAGTCCCCAGAATTTTAGGCCAAGAATTGTTTCATGCTAATGAGCTCAACAAAATCTGCTTATTGAAGTTGTGCACCCGACTCTCTGCCACCAGAAGTAACAAGGTTTTCTACCTAGCTAAAGCCTCAACAGCAAGAAGGATATATTTTTCAATCATCTACCTTTAAAATGGGAAAGAACATGTAATATGAATGAATAAGATTGTCACAGTCATTTTTTAAATTACTGACCAATGTGTGATAGCACTGTGGAAAAAAGCTATCAAGAGACCACAGCTGGGATTTGACTGAGTGTATTATGAATTCTTAAGTCACCTGTTTTGCATCATTCATAGCCAGCTTAAACCCCTAAAATACAGACTGAACTCCTGTTTCATTGCTCTTCTTACATAAGCATTAATATATTAACTTCAAAGAACTGAGATTTCGGAGATGTAGCATGTCATCTGTCAAGCAATATAACAATAAAGCCACGGAAAGTAATTTAGACATACTCTGTCTGCATGATATTAGCATTAAAGGAGTTTTAATTAAGAATAGAGAAAACATTTCACTTTTGACTTCTCACAACCCACTACGGCACATGTAGCTAATTACTATGGCTACCTGTTTCTGAACAGAGGGAAATGAGCAGAAAGATTCCTCTTCATTTTAATGCTTCCATTCTTTCCCTTTATTTAGAACTGACCTTTTCTCACACAAAAAAGATTTCATAAGCTTAATCTAACATAACTCTGGGAAATGGAAGCTAAATTTTTGCTCTCTGTACCTCAGCGCTCAGAGGCAGACAGACACTGACATTTCCCAATTCCTTTCAGTCACACAAGTTTATTGCCCTCTGACTTTACTCAGGTATAAAACAGAGGGTAGTCTGCCCTTCAGGCATTCTTGTTTAAGGCTCATGTTAACGTTGCCAATGAATTACTGATCTGATTCATCAGAAAACGAGCATCTCTCAGCAGCGCTGTTTTACACATCACACCTCAAAACATGCCATGATAACCAATGAAGCTGTGGTTTACTTCTAACTTGTTTACCAGCAAGACTCTGGATACCAAAGATGGAGGCAAGTGTGTAGAATACAATTTCTTCCATCAAAAACTCAAAGGTAAGGGTTGAAAGAAAGATCTCTCCTGTATCCTCCTAATTGATCCTACATGTCTGCTCCACAAAACTCATCCTTGCAGCAAACAAATAAATAATCACAGAGCTATAACCTGTATTATTTACATTCCTACCACAGCTCTTGCTGCATCAAGCAGTTGCACCCACACTACATTCAGGGCAGTTACAGCTCAGGCACTTAACACTGTCCAAGCACCTGCACCTCACAATTTTGGTTCCCTCAAGGAAGGAGTGGAAGAACAACTTGTCTGCCTAGAACTGGACAAGCAACACTATCAAGAAGCCTCACAGCAGCTAGAGAAAGAACAATCACTGTCACACAGGCAAGTGAAGCACGCTAACAAGCGCTGCAAGCTCAGCTGAGACCTCACCTGAGTACAAGCTTGCACTTAGTCAGCTTGGATTTGAGTTCTGACCCAGGCTTTTCACCAAATTGTGATTTTGATATACGTTTTCCCCCTTTGCTATTGAACCCACAGCTGAGAAAAAGCTGTAGTTTGAGAATTTGTGAGGTACACCTTGCTAAGAAAGAATCCTACTTTTTTCCTACTGAGCGCACAGCCATAATCTCAAACTTGTAATTAAGATTGCAACACTGGGTCAAGCAAGAGTCCAATCAGCTCCAACCAGCATCTTGTTAAGCATGAACATCAAGATATGAAGCAACATGTTCTGGCACTTCTCTCATCTAAAACCCAGGATCTTAAGTACTTTTCTCAGCCTGCTGGCATAGCATATCACTAGAAACATGAGAAGAAAGGATCAGGCAGGATGGAAAAAGTCTGGGAACAGAGACAAAGGGAGATTAATAATGGCTGTGCAGGAGGAGCATAAAAACAGGACTGTGGGAATGAGTATACAAAAAAAAAGAAAATATTACTAGGAATACACAAAGTCACAGCTCCAACAAGACTTCTTGTAAAGCTGCCTCATTAATTTGCTTTCCATTAAGCCTAAATTGGCATGTAGCTGTACCTTTAAACAAGTGCACTGGCTAATAAAGCCAATCAAGTTTTAAACTTCCAGGGCCATAGAGAAGGTGGTGTTTAATAAGTATCTGTAATATTACAGAGCATTTTCATTAAGCTAAAAGCATTGGAAAGTGCAGTATTAATACCTACTCAATTCAAAACTAAGATGGATCAAATAGCATCATAGTATGTGTTTTATATTTTAATCATGAAAAAAAGCATAGTGTGGCCAAGAGTAACATTAGATAAAAATAAACCCCTCTGCATCCAGAAAAACAAAGAACATTAAATATAGGCCAAAAAAAACTGCCTGCCTCTTCTGACATGGGAGGCAAAAGCTTAGTCCTTAGTGCTACTATTCCACAGCTCCCATTTCCACAGTTAGGAGACTCCTGGTTCATGCAAGCAAAGAAAAGCCTGATTTGTGCTCTCTTCTCCACAGCTACCATCACAAAAGGGCTGACCACCACAGGGACAGGCAGTGCCTTCCTTTCACTGTATCTCATAGAGCACAGAGGTACACAGTCCTCCCTCCAGACTTGACTCTAACATTACTCTGACCCTGAACACAAAACCTTGCCATTGTGAATCGAGTTAACAGGACTGCAACAGACAAACCAAACAGAAGCAATATCTGCCAAAATCACCACCGAAACTGTGGTCAGCACTGCAGTGAGCATTAGGCATTGTTTAAAATAAGCACGATAATCTAGAAAAAAAAGCAGCAAAAAGCTTGGAAGCAGAGAGATTTGAGAGCTTGCAAATTCTGCCCAGAGAACTGCAGCAGGAAAGGATATTTTTGATAACTGCATACAAAACACTTAACTGCGAAAATGAAAATGGGAGCCAATTATTCTTATTAGTCAGCAGGAACAAATAAGCTGTAATGAGGTTCACAGCATGATAAAAATTCAAGTTTATTACTTATCCCACAGGATTAAGTCACTAATATGTATACAATATTTGGAGCAGCAAATGAAAACATATAGTGTAAAACCAAGGATATTACATTTGAGAAGAAATGTAACACTTCAGCTAAGGACCAAGCTTTCAAGAGAGATGAGTGAAGATTTGCTTGTCTAGATCGCAGCCTTCACAGAGGTTTAGAAAAGACCAGTAGCCAAATAAATCCCTTCTAAGCCAAGTAATACCACACTTTTCTTGATTCCCACATAATTTTTTACTCAGATGTCTGTTCCCAAATTGTTTCCATGTTACACTATGCCAGTGAAAATTCTATTATAAAGAAAAAAAAAAATTAAAAAAGATGTTTGAGAAGAAAACTAAGTTCAGTCTATTATTCAGAGAAAGGAATATCATTTAACATGTTGCATAACACACCTCTGTTATATCCTGCATCCACTATATTGATGCTCAAAGTTTTACAAAGCTGATGCAACATATTTTCTAACATTATTAAGTTTCCAAATGCCAGCTCATCTACAGACTGGCACATGGCATGGAAAACATACACATGACTTTCCAAAGGGACTAATAAAACACTTCCACAGTTAAGTTAAAACATTTTTACATACGGGAATGATTTCCAAATGAAGAATTTCGCTTTAAGGCTCTTACAGGTAAAGGTTCCTTAACTTGAATCATTTTAAAGATTTTTACAATTACTCCACACTTCTCCAGGTAATTTTCACATACACAACAGCCTATGTGAGCTTATAAGTAGTCCCCAAAACTCATGGATTTTCAACTCAGAAGTACATAAAAGCTAATATGTAATTCTGGTTGTGTGCTTATCTCCCCACACCCTGCCTAGTATACATATAAATAAAGTCAAAGCAGCTGTGTCCTATCCCAGGGTCTGGTGCAAGCACAGCTGAGGTGCAGATTAGAGAAGCACGAGGGTAGGAAGGGACGTCTGGAGATCGTGAAGTCCATCCCCTTGCTAAAGTAGGTTTCCCACAGTAGGTTGCACAGGAAAGCATCCTGACAGGTCTTGAATATCTTCAGGGAAGGAGACTCCACAATCTCTCAGACTAATTAAATGTGAACCATCTCCATAACCATGACTATAAACCATGGCACACATGGCATAAGTGGAAATTCCTCAACTTGGCAGAAGAAACTTAATGTTTCTCAATCATTCTTGCTCCAACCAACAACCAGCAGCTGCTGTTTGGCAGAAACAAGCCAGCTATAGATGAGATATGGTCCAGAGCCAGCGAAGGAGCTCTTCTGGACCTATGAAGCCTGATTACAGTGCTAGCTGTACCCCAAACGGCCAGGGGAGGAAAGGAAAACACCAGCTGTTCTCAGACAGGTAACACAAAGCAAGAAGTGTCAGGTCCTGCTTGAGGAGAAAACTGACTCCAAGAAGGTAGCTAAAAACCCTGCTGAGCGCAGACACTAGATCTTTCATTCCCAAAGATTCAGCACTTGCTGCTGTCCTTCCTAAACGTGAGATGTTCAGCTCACCTACACAGCCAGCCACTACTACTGGGAAGGAGGCAGCCCTACACACATCTCTGTGCCTGGCCGGCAGAACCGTAACGCTGCTCCTAATCCTGGAACAAAAGCAGACTCCGAAAAGCCCAAGGCAGCAGCAAAAGCACGAAACCTATATCATAACTACGGGTCCGTGTGGAGGTGTGAGAAAGGTTTTGGGTCCAAACTGATTTCAGAAGACGAGTACCAGCCAGACGCCCAGAAGAGCAGCAAAACCTACACTGCACTCCTTTATCGAGGGGACGCCGAGCCCCCACACCGCATCCCGGGCCTCAGCCGGCTCCGTGGGACGGGACCTCGCTTCCTCCCCTCCCCAGAAGGCGAGGAGGAGAAGCGGGGCTCGGCCTCCCCTGCCCAGCGCTGCCCTTGAGGCGCGGCCCCCTCCCTCAGGGCCGGCTCCAACCGCCCGCAGGCCTCGCGAGGCGGCGGCAGCCCCGCGGATTACGCTTCGAAAAAACAACGAAGAAAAAAAGGCGGGTGGAGGAGATGATACCGGCACTGCCGTATCCCTCCTTCTCCCCTCGCGCTGCACCCGCACGGTGCTCACCTCATCCACCGCCCGGCGGGGCAGGTGCAGCATCCCTAGCAGCAACTTCAGCTTGACGGCCGAGGAGAGGCCGTGAAAACAGAGGCGGATGTTGTCGATCACCGACGCCGTGAGCAACGAGGCGATGCTCGGCGGCGCCCACAGTTCGTCCGTAGAGCCTAGTTTGTTGTGCAGCCACAGGCCGGTGTCGCTCTCCCGCATCGACGCCATCTTGGGAGCGGAGCGAAAAAAGAGGGGGTTCTCCACAGGCATTTTATGAAGACGCCTAAGAGGAGGAAGGGAGGGGGTGAGGACCCCTGCGGGTCGCAGGCTGGTTCGTAAACCAAAATGGCGGCGCCCTATGAGTTTGCTCTACGGAAGGCGGAGATTCTTCCGTAACCTAAAATGGCGGCGCCCATACGGAAAACAGCGAGGCCGTTCTCTTTTCCCGCTCAGATGCAAAATGGCGCCTGCCATCGTGGTTCTTCCGTAACGCAAGATGGCACCGCGCTGGCGCAGAGATGTTTTACTGTCGGCTCCAGCTCACTGCGCCTCATGGCCTTCCTTCACGTCCTGAAGGCTCTCACGGGCACTAAAGGGCTGGCAACCGGGAGCCGCTGCGGCGTAGTTCCGATACAGGAGACCGTGCTCGCTCCTCTCGCTGATCTGAAGGCGGAAGCAGGACCGAAGCCCGGCTGCTAGCCCGCCCTTCTGCCGGGAGGCTGGGCCAGAGCGCTGGGCAGCACTACGACTCTCTTCTTCACAGACCCTGTGCCCGTCCGTCTCCTTCAGTGGCTCCTCAGTGGCGCCCACGAGGCCCCGTCTGTGCCTTGCTTCTGCGTTTCTGGCTAATAACAAGTCAAAGCGCATTCAGCTTCCTGTCTCTGGGTTCTTCGTCGCTCCCTTAGTCTGTTAACCTTCAGCATTCCTTTCAGCCCACTAGCACAGCGAGCTAGGTGATGAAACCCCTGTAATGCTGCCAGCTGACTTAAGCGGGGAGTGCTTTTTTCCACTTTTTTCCCCCCGGAGATTTCTGTGCTGGTACCTCAGGGGTGTAGGAGAGTATCTCTATGACTGGGAGATGAGAGGTAGGTGCTCAGAAATAGAGGATTATAAGTATGCGTTCATGTTCCCTCGTGATTCAGCTCCCTGTTATTTAAATATGAAACATTAATCCATTTCTTAAGTCCCAGAAGACTTGGAATTATCTCTGTGTGGCATAAGTGGTTCATTTTAGTGTCTGTAGCTGAAAACAAAGCAAAGAGGAGGTAGGAGTGTGCAGCAAAGTGATTTTGCTGTTCTAAGCTTTTGAATGCAAATGTTTTCTTTACGGATTCCTTCTTACGTAGGAGGCTGTTTACTACCTGACTTATCCAGCAGAACAGAGCAGTTGTTGCTGGAGAGCTTTGTGTTCTTGATGCTCTCTCAAAACTGCTGTGGAAGATAGAATCATAGAATCATTAAGGTTGGAAAAGACCACTTAGATGATCTAGTCCAGCCATCAACCCATCACCTCTATACCCACTAAACCATGTTAAAACTTATGCTGTTTCATTGTTACCAACTCCTGCTCTTTGTTTTTACTAACACCCAAATGCTAGGTTCTTAAAACTTAGGCACCTGCTTAACTGTAGTGCAAAATCCCATTGTATTCACTGGAAATGTTGTGTGGCAGGTGGGTGAGGTTTGGACTGCAGATTGCCTGGGGTGGTGAGTGTGAATTTCTGTACTTCATGAAATCTCTTAATTGTGGCAGAATTCCCCAAATCTTTTATGGCATAATTTTAAAATCTCACTCCCAATTCTGCTTTGTGCTATATTTTTGCTTAAAAAAAAAAAAAAAAAAAAAAAGCCTTTTGAAATTATATAATCCATGAGATACTGCAATTAAAAAAGATTTAGTTGAACAAGGAAAGTTAGTGGTGATTTCACCTTCAAATGGAAGAGAAAAGTAGCAGCCAAGTAACAGCCTCTTTTTGAGGTGGGTTGAAGGAAGCAAAACATGGAACATGCAGTGGTTTGTACAGCAGTTCTCTTCAAGCAGTAGTTAACACAGAGACTTGAACTCATTCAGCTAAGGTTTTTTAAGCACCAGATCTGACAAATACAAGTCCATAGAGCAACGTGTGGAATTGCGCAGCATTGCTTTACCACTTCTCATGGACTGAATGTTTTTGAAAGGGTAACTTTGCTCTGGTAAACTTTGTGTTTATTTAGGTACCAGTTTTCTCCGACAGTGCTGACGTTACACACTGATGGAAGCTAGGGGAGTATTATTACATAGCTTATCTCTATGCCTTCCTTGAGGCACTTATTTTTTGGCCACTGTTGAGGGTTAGAGCACTTGGCTGCATGACTCTCTGGTATGAGCTAGTGTGATCACTTACATTCTTATTTGAAGTGTGTTTTGAAAAGAGAGTTTGTTCTGTGAAGCATATCTGGAATATAAGTTTTTATATAGTCGCTATGGCTCCAGTTCTACTGCAAATTCATCCCTATCAGTTGTTAACTGAATGGGGTATGCAGATGCTGTAGAGGTTAAGACAAAATTCCAGCTAGCTTTAAGAAGAGAAGTTTGTCCCGTTTAGTTACTAGTACCTTCGCTTTATGCTTGAATAGAAGAAAACTTTATTTATTTACTTAAATTTGGGCTTTTTTTGAGTAGTTATTTTCAAATATAAAAATGCTCATTCCTCAGGGATTCCTTATGCTAGAAATGGCATACTTGATATTTCTGGAAGTCTTTATATCCCATTTGCCCATCTGATGTTGCATTGTAAGATAACTGTCTGGAGACAGTTTCTCCTCTTAGTTACAAGTTCCTGACTCAAAGTAGGTGATGCTGAACATTACACTGCTGAGAAACATTCACACATGCTACAAGAAAGACTGGGGGGACACATCCTATAATCATTTGCTCGGTTATGATAGTATTCAAATAAAAAGGGGTATAGACCAAGATTTGTCTCTTTGAATCCTCTTTATAATTGTTTTCAGAAAAGTATGCCTTCACCTTGTAAAAGAACAAGTGTTCCGGAGTTTCTCATCCTGCTGTTTGTCTTGCTGCCTTTTGAAAAACAAATATACTATGTAGATTAGTCCTGCACTACTGAGAGCAGGGTGCTGTACCTGTCAGATTGAAAATAATTGTGTATACTCAGGAGTTACAGGGATGGTGTTTAGGGTTTTCCTTGCTGACCAGAACAGGCAGTGCATCTTTGCTGGGCGCCAGGAGTGGTACACTGGCAGGCAGAGGTTTGAAGTTGGTATGAAGTTGAAGTTGGCATTCAGCTCTCAGGGAAAAGGAAGCTGCTTTTACTGTGTTTTAGAAAGCAACGAGGCATGTGCAATAAACATGACACAAGCATTAGCAGCAGCACTGTGTTTCCACTGGCATCCCATCCTGCAATGGCAAGTATGGCAGTTTCTGAGCCAACAAGGGTTCAGGCTGTGATTCATACCACAATGACAGGAGCCAGCCTCAGCAGGCAGACAAAGCATTTGTGTGCCACTATGCAGTATGCCCTCCATTCTCCATAAAAACAACATTTCCATTCACTTTGAATAACTGAGATTTTCAGAGCTAAAATTAGATTTATCTGCAGTTTTATTTCTACATCCATACATGTAACTGGAGTTCTAAACACTGCAGGCTTTTGTGGGCATTTCTGCCCACAGCCACCACAGCTGATTCCACTGATACTAACAGGGCCACTCACCTGCCTTTGCCACCTCCTGCATTGCCTTTCTTTCACTCTTGAGTTTAGTAAGTTGCTTACATTATTGTAGCAGAAGGAGGTATTAAAATAATGATTTAGAATGCATAAAAAATGCAAAGTCCAACTATGCTCTCAGTTACTTTTTAATAAACAAGAATGCAATCACAGTAAGCATAAATCAGACGTAACGATGTGAAAAATTAAAAACCATTACAAGTTTTTAAACCATTAGGACCTAAAACACAAAGTGCTGTGTGCAATAAACACGTTCTTTCAAAGCCTCTTACTTGTGTATGCACAGTGCCTCAAAAGCTCTCTGCTTGTGATGATATGAAAAAGGAGTAGAAGGACCTTGCTTGGTAGATAAGGGATTCAAGGGAATCTTTCAGGATCATCATGGCTTGTTACTTGACAAGCCATGGAATATGCTGTGTAAAATATAATGTTCCTGTTACAGGTGGTAATGCTTCTAGCCAGCTTTCAAAATTAAACTGTTCTCTCAAATGAGGGATATTAAAGGCAGGCAGCATCAGCCCTTGCTGGGACAACACTGTGACCTCTGACAAGAAAATCACCAAGCTTTCAAGGAAGATTATTTCTCTGTTCGTTGCCTCCAGGGACAAGGAGGACAAGGATTTCTATTGTTTAATTTCCCAGATGTTGCCCATTTCTATGAGATGATGCTCTTTTTCTTTCTGTACATACTAGAATAATAGAATCATTAAGGCTGGAAAAGACCTCTAAGATCATCTATTCCGACCATCTGCCCATCATCACCTTGCCCACTAAACTGTGTCCCTAAGTGTCACATGTACACTTTTCTTCAAAACCTCCAGGGACAGTGATTCCACCACTTCCCTGGGCAGTATTTAGTTAAAATAGAATCTGGCAGCTGCTCTGAAAAATTTTGGTCCTAATTCATCTCTTTTAATGACTGTGGGAAAATATTTTCCTTGCCACACCTCTCTCATTGAATTCCAGTTTATTGATGGTTTGCATTGTTTGCAAGGAGTCTGTACTGTTGGCTTAAATGGGCTCACACCCATCCTGACATCCCCCCTGATCCGCTGGCGCTTTGCTCTCCAGTTAGCTCTCAATCTATGCTTATTCCTGAGGTTATTCTGCTCTGCTGAGTTCTGCAAGGCATCTTCCTGATTCTCAAATTTATTGGGATCTCTCTGGATTAAGCTCTACCAATCCTCATAAAGGCCAGTGGTACACATAAATTTGTGCAGAGTTCATTCTGTGTCATCATCTGGGCCTGATCTAGATGTTGAGCGCTGTTCTTCGCTGGCTGCATGCCAGCCTTTGGTCTTTATTGATTGAATGTGGTTGTTCATCCAGTTTTCAAAACCAATGATTGAGTGGTGGCCTAGCCCAAAAGAAAGAATGTTTTTTTTTTTTTTTTGTGGCTGTGTGAAGTAGAAAAGAACTGAAAATTTGTTATCTTTCAGGCCTAGATTCCATGTTAAGCATTGACAAAATATTTTAAAGCCCAGATGGCAGAGAAAAGATATGCTAAAATACTCTGATAAGAATTATGCTACTTTAGTTTTACCATAAAGTCATGTTATATCACAGATTCCTTATTTCATTGTTTGAGAGTTCACAGGGGATAAAGTTGGATCTTTAGAATTTAGGAGTTGGAGGTATCTGGG